CAGGACTTAAGAAGAAATCTGTGTCCATGCTGGGACAAATGAATGATACCGACTATTCAGCAGGTGGAATATCAGCTGATATCAGACGTTGGTTTAAAGCTCTAGTTGGTACATACCTAGTTTTTTCAAATGACATCATGCCTGGTTGAATTAGTTTGTGGTTGTTGAAGTTGTTTTAGATTTTAGCAGGTAACATTTAAAGCTGTGACAGTGTCGTATGGGTTTGAGGTGAACTGTTGGTTTTGTCATTGAAATAAGAAATGAAACTTTTCCTCCCTGAGCTGCTGCTTCCTGTCGGTACACAGACAGTTTCCCAGCAGCACCTGACTGACAGGGCAGAGGCCCACAGTCGTCTGCAAACATGAGACTGGTCTGAGACGAGACCGCAGACGGAGAAATTAACTTTTGTTAAATCTGTGACTAAAGTAAACTGTGGAAACTGGGCCTCCACTGAAAGCCTCCGTCTCTACAGCTTCATTTAAAGTCCTACAGCAGACCGAGGTCTTTGAGATCCTGAGACACTTCCACTTGTTGCTCACAGTATAGAAAGCTCTAATCAGTGATCAGCTTCACCTCCAGATATTCTCAGTATTATCAAGAAAAGCAGAGTGGGAAAGTTGTCCAGGTGAAGAGTGTTTGCACTTGTGGTCAGTCTCCAACGTGCTTTCATGTTGGGTCAAATTTATTGTGTCAACAAACAGGCTGGTTTCAAAGAGCTTCACAGGGAGCAAAGGCCTGAGATCCAGATTAAAAAACACACACAGACGTAGGCCGCCATGTTGGCGACCTCAGAGCTGATTAGATTAAGATTTGTGGTAAAACACAAAAGGTGGAGAATGAATCTGCTGCATGAAAGTCTGGTTAATTCATGAGCATGAGATATAATTTTACGATGATTTTAAAGGCGCCAAATTGGGATTAATCCACCTCTGAAAATAGTTCCCATTAAATGCACAATTTACAGTTTGATTAATGTTTGTTGCCTTTTTTTAAAAATGAAACTATATATTTGTTTATAAAGATTTCTGTCTTCAGTAGAAACCAGCGTGCTTTGAAAGAAGGACTGACACGTTGTTGGTTTTGAGATTTTCATTGGATTTGTTGACAGTAGCAACAGAGCTAATCCTCTAAATGTGGCATCGCTGTTAACACAACATCCTAATCGTCAAATCAGACGTAGAACAGGAGATCTGTCTCTGAGTCTGTTCAAATAAAACTTTATTCAGCGTCAGGATGGACAGTTAGTGTTTGTGACTGTGTGAGCTGGATGACTCTGTGAGTCTTGATGTAGATTGTTTGGTCCTGATCTGCCGCCAGTGTCAGGATCTCACCTCATCTTCCTCTCACCTGTAAAATAAACCCTGACAAGCACAAGATCAGGCTGTTAATATTTCATCATCTGAACCCGACTCTGAGTACACTGTAAAAATGTCTTTTAGATACAGCAACAACAACAAGAAAATAAATAAATAAAATGAATCTGAGATAATTAATAATCAGTTTGTTTGAATTCTTTTTTGGGATCATGTGAAAAGATTAACAAGTAGAAATGTCTGAATTAACTGGTAGAAGGAGAAATTCAAGACTATTACTGGATTCAACAAAAAAATGCACTCAACAAAATTTAAATACACATTTATGTCAAAAAACATGATTAAACATTAGAATGACATGAATAAAGAAAAGTAAAAGTGTGCAGGACGTTAGGAAAAGAAGTTAAAGACGTCTCTCTTCAATCCAAACCACATTGATCACATATTTTTTGCGGTGTTCACGGCCACAGTTTGCTGTGTTTGATTATCTGTGCTGCTTCAGAAGCGTCTCTGGAGCCAGAAGCTCGAACCCCTCAGCAGTTTCTCAGTGCCGTGATCCTGCTCCATCCTCGCCGTCTGCCAGACGCTCGAAGCCGCTTTCCAAGAATTTGGGCCGAGTGCCAAAAAAACGCCTTCAATGTCTGAAGTGCCGACTGAGAGAAATGTCTCAACCGTCACATAAATTTACGACATGTCGTCTTTTATTTCTCGTGAGAACATTGGATCCAGCGCTGGATGTTGGCGCTGTGCCGGACTCGTGAAGCCTTTTAAATTTATATGTTCATGTTCATCCTGCTGGGATCAAGTCTCTTGTTCAGAAACGCCTGAAACTAATCAAAATGCATTTTGATTTTCAGAATAACATGGTCTTAAGACTTCTGTGAATTTGCACCTGATGCATCACCTGCTGGTGCTGCAGGAAAAATCACATGTGAAGGTTAAAACCGGAGCTCAGAGCTGCCTGTGAGGGTGCTGGTGTTCTGCAGGGTGTTCTGCAGGGAGACTTGGCCCGGCGATGTTGTGCTTTCATTAGCAGGTGATTTGGCTGTCGCGTGACATTTAGCCGACCCTGCTGTGCAGCTGAGAGATTATCGGCCTCCTCGGGTGTCAGTAATGTGATCCAGGCTGTCGCCAACACATTCCTGTTGACCGCAAATTCTCGCCAACCGCCGTCCGACTCTGACGAACAACAGAGAACTGAGTATAGTCAGAAACATGTCAGACCTCCTATCATGTAGTTGTGATGGGTGTGTTTCAGGCAGGGGGGTGTGAATATCTCTGAGGAAGCTGAGGGGATATCATGGAGGTTTGTAACCAGGCATCTCTTAAGATTTAATCAACAGACAAATTGAATAATCGACTTTATCCAGTTGAAGAGACAGTTTGTTGTATATGATGATTTGTTGCTTTTCATAGTTGTTGTTATTATGAATGAAAACAGTTTTGAACAATAAAAGTTAAGTTGTTCCTCTGGTATTAGAAATTAGTAACTTAATCTTCAAAATAAAATTGCTTAATTGATTAATGGAAACAAATGTCACTAATGAATTGTTGGTGTTTGCGGTCCCAAACTGAGACCATAAGAGCTGAGGCTGCAACTAATGATTATTTCCATGATAATAAAGATAATCTGCCTGTTATCTTAATTAATTGATTCATAGTTTGGGCTGAAAATAATGGAAAACACTGATCACAAGTTACCGCAGCGTGATGTGACATTGTGTAATGTATATATGATATTCAGCTTAGTATACTATAAGACATAACCAGAGAATTGTGATATTAATGGTTGAAAAATTATTGAAATGAGTAATCAATCACTAATCAGCTGATCGTTTCAATTTTAACAAAATCTGATTCACTGCTGAATTCTGATTTCAACGTTTGATAAAATATCAAAAACCAAAATGTCCCAAAATCAACTGAATGAACCAAAACTGCGTCTTTAAAACAGTTTGTTTCTGTGTGATTTTAACATTAAGAAATCAGTAACAAACAAACAAACGTGCTGTTGTTCTGGTGTCTCCTGGTGTGGGAGGAGTGGGCTGGTGAAAGCTCGGAGGTGTCACATCAGCAGTTAGTTAAGGAGGAATGTTCCTCCCTGCTGTCCGAGTGAGTGTCGGCCATCTGTCGTCCTGCGAGTCCGTCTCAACACAAACAGGAGTCAGGGTTTCTGCGGGACGCTTTAATGACCACATGCAGGGCCAGTTGTTTTCTCCTCCACTGTTCACACCAGCTCAGGCATTTTGTTCTCCGTTTGCTGATCCGACTCGCTGCTGAGAGCTGAGCTGCATCTGCCATTTGGTGGAAGCCTGTGATCAAAGGCTTTAACAAACCGACATGTATTTTTAGTTTGTCTTCAGTTGTAGCTGTCGCTGGTGTCGCTGCGTTTCTTTATGTTTATAAATGTAAGCTGTCTTTGACATTTGAACCTGCAGTTTATTAAAAGTTTAAGACGCATTTTTCAGTTTTCTGACGTTTTATAAACCACAGGATTAATCGATCAATTCAGAAAAGAATAAACAGATTAATAGATATTGAACATAATCATTAGCTGCAGTTGTCCCTCACACATTCTTCTCCAACACATGATCCTAATTCATGTTCCTGGGCTGAACACTGTCAGCACGTACTGATGTGTGTCAGTAGAAGTACGTGGTGGACGTTGGTTGATGCTCTTCTATTGATCGAGCGGTGAGAACTCTTTTATCTCATCTCCCCCTGCTGTCTTTCACAGAGAGGTCAGAGGTCAAATTTCAGGGTCAGACTCAGAGTGGCGCCGCTGGAGGTGGCGGTGTCTCACTCAAGATCACAAAAGGTCAGGAGGGGGAATCCTGCAGGTCCAGAAGGGTCCAGGTCTTATCAGCAGAAGGAACTCATTAAAGGACATATGTGTAGAATAAGGCTGCAACTAACAATTGTTTTCATTACCAATTTCATTTTTCAGTTATTATCAATCCTCATGTCACTGCTTAGCAAACTGTACACTGAGCCTTTGCATGTGACAAACAAAACTCTGAGCTGTTCTTTAGTGGAACTTATATCTGAAACATCAAATACATTAATATAATTATATATTAATAATAAATAATAATTTAAAAAAAATTAAAAAAGCAAAACAACTGAGACATTAAAATACAATAATATGTTGCATGATATTATGGGATATTGTGACATTTGTGCTTGACTGTATTGAATTTTGGATCTTACCAACCTGTTAACAAAGAGACGTGCAGCAGTTGATGGTGATGCAGGACAGGAGGTGTGTGTCTGACTGCTGATCCTCAGGTGAGGTGCGGCGAGGTCACATGATGCTGTGAGCTGTTGGCCGTCACATTGATGGATCAGCAGGAAAAGTCAATAAGTGGGTGTTGACTCAGCAGCTGTGTTTGCTGTCAGACCTGAATGGATCATAACACAGCCGACTTTCACTGAAACTCTGAAAGGAAACTCTGTCTTACTGTTGTTGACTCTCTCGTATGAACAGCACCTCTGATGCTTTAGTGTGCACTCTGCTCTCAGGGCAGCTCAGATTATTGTCATTAACCATGTTCCATAAATATGTATTTATCACCTATTTAATTCATGACAATAAAACCAAAACTTTGTGACACTCAGGGAGTTTTCTCTGTCTTTATTCTGCCCCTGGTGTCCCCTCTGAGTGTGTCGTCTCTCTCTGTCCCTCAGGTCTTGACGACAGCCTGCAGCAGTACGTCCCGTCCTTCCAGCAGCAGCTGGTGGACGGGGAGAAGCTGCTCAGGATGTCCCACCAGGAGCTGCTGTCTCTGGGTGTGGCGCGGGTCGGACACCAGGAGCTGGTGCTGGAGGCCGTGGACCTGCTCTGCGCTCTGGTCAGTAACTGTCACTGCATCGACCCTAAGCTTTTCTTTTCACTCTTTATTTAGTTTTAACAGTATATTGTTATTTTTCTAAGAACACATTAGACTACACAGACATGCCACTGGCAATTTTGCAGTAAAAAACGATTTTATGAAAAGATCGTTTTTAAAATTGTAGTGTTTTCTTGTCAGTACTTTGTATGTCCAACACATCTGTGTATGAATGAATGAAAGAGTGCTAGTGTTACAGGGATATAAGAACCATGTTGTTATGACACTCTGAGCTTTAATAACATAAAAAGGAAATATATTCATTGGACATTTTTACTCCTGTTGTTCTTTAGCTTACTTATGTTTTGGGGGTGATCATGTCGGACGTTTTGGACCCAGAGCTCCCATAAGGCAGTGAGTGAGCTCCAGCTTTAGTCCAGTTTTTCAAACCTGTATTTGCACCATGAAAAGTCGTGCTGAAATAGCAGTTCACCTTTGATTGACATTAGAATTGTAACCATGGAAACGGACAACTATCGCCAGATGACTGATACTGAAGAAAACATCCAAACGTGAGGATTCTGAGGCAAGAGTACAAACTGTAGGAAAAAGTGGATTTATGGACATTCATCCCAGATGGTTGGATGAGGACTCCTGACTGTGAGAAGGAGTGAGATTTCTGAAACACAGAGCATCAATCTGCACCAAGGGTTCAGCATATTATGTTTGAATCTAACCGACTCTCTGCAACGTCGTCAGTAATGTGCTCACATGTCTGATGAGCTGGTTTATAGTCGCACTGTTGCATCAGCATGTCGACTCCAGGGTGGAGCTCACAGCTCTGTTCACCACATGCTGACATGTCGACAGAAGCTCTGCACCAAACACAAACATCTGTGCTCCGTTACACCCCAGATAAACACAAATACATATTAACAGCCACATCAGGCGGCGCCACGCGCTGCTGACCTCAAGGTGCAGCGAGAGTGAACTGAATCATTAGAGCCGGAAACTAAAGGGACATTCTGCTTTTCTCTCTGTGGACAGAAGCAGTTGATGTTTCTGAGACACATGTGGACGTACCAGCATCTGATTCTACAGACTCTATAAGCGGCTCCTTAACTGAAATTCCTAGACATGAAAAATATCAAAGAACATCAGTATTTCTCTGGCAGCTGTTTGACTCTTATGAATTTCTCCTGCATCTTTTCTAATTGTGTTAATTAGTTGATTCTGAGCATCCGGCTCCTGAAGTCGCTTCATCTTCATCGCGTGGTTTGTGCTGGGCCTGGCTGTCGTGCCAGAGAATGTGCTGATGTAAATAAAACGCACTCTGTTAAATCTTAATCAGATCTGGCAACATGCCTGCAGCTGCTGGGTTTAATCCTTCCACTGTACGTGGAAAAAATACAGCAGAGGTTTCTGCAGGAAAAAAAGAAAACGGATTTTATTTTTCTCTCTTAAAAGTTAAAAAATAAACACTTGAGAAAAGTTGTATTTATGCCATAAATCAAATCAGGGCTCCACAAAAAAAGACTGTATTCCTTCAAACTGAAAATTATGCATTATAATTATGATTTATGTGATAAACTGTACAAGACTTGAGCCACAAATCTAACCAACTAAATGACCTGAAAACAGTCCATCACAACTTCCTGCCTCTTAAAAAGCTTAGGTTTGCGTTTCAGTTATTACAACATGAATAAACCCATCATTTTTAATTCAATTAGCCAAGCGCGAGCGTTGAGGTGTCTATGATTGGGTCCCAGGTAATCTCTAATTTGTCATGAAAACCATGTGTGTTGGTCGTATCCCTGAGACCTGTTCACTGAACTGTCTGGAGAAATGAGGAGCGCTGGAATCGTCTTTCCAACCAACTTACCAAACGTGTGTGTGGCAGTGCGAGAGGAGCTCTGTAATAACCAAACGAGGCAATTAGTGCATCTTCTGTGCTTCAATCTGTGAATCATGAGATTAGAAATGGTCAATAATAATAACATCATCATTTTGAGAAAATTTCCAATATTGTAAATAAAATAACAGATGAGGACTTTAACACGGTGCTGTCACAGTTTTGAAATGTTTGTTTTACGATCCAGTGTTTGACCTCGTCCGACTCTAGTAAAGTAAAAACATTTCTTTAAACCAACAAACTTCTGGTCTGAAACAGCAGACGTGTTGAGCTCCAGACAGAGGTCCTCACTCAGCTGTTTATGAGCTCTGTCGTCTGTGTCACAGTCAAAAGGAGGATTTACAGTCCGTGCCGAGGTTTACTGGTGTAACTCGGCTCAATAGGATCCAGCAGCCGTTTAAATGGAGCCTGACACTGTCTGCTGGGACGAGGGACCACAGACATGACAACTGCTACCACTGTTCAGAGTCGTGTTGTTGAGGCTCGGTTGATCATTTGTTCTCAACTTTACTGCAGTTAAAGTCAGAGAACGTGCTGAATTTAGTTTGCAGATATTTCATTAAAAATATTTACACTGTAAAATCCTGGAGGACTCTGGAGACGATGAGACGACGAGTTCATTTCATCTGAGTGAGAAAAAATGTGCTAATGAGCCGAGATAAGTTTGTGTCTGATATGACTTGGCTTATTGAAAATAAAATGGCGGCGTTATCTTGAAGTGAAGCAGATCAACTTCAGGCTGAATGTTTCTCACTGTCTGTTTACGGAGAGCAGGAAGCAGCATCTAATCCACTTCAGCACAGTCTGTTAGTGGTCCAGACCCTGGTCCTCTCTCTCCTCCACTACTGAACTTTTTGAGCCTCAATACTTGAGTCATTTGCTTCATCTCGTACAGTTTCTGTACTTTTTGAACCCAGACTTTGTGTCATAGAGGTTCAGGTTCAACCACTGATCTATAACTGATCTAATTACAGCCCCTATTGGAGTCAAAGCCTGGATTTACAGTGAGAAGGATCTCGGATATATTTGGATCTTTGGGAATCTCAGACCTCTTTAAGATCATCAAACACGTCCCTCCTGTATCTGTGTTTTTGTCTGATTGATGCTCATGTTTGAATGTTTATGTCACTGAGGAAATCTTAAGGCTTGAAACCAGGTTTCACCTTTCTCCTCCCACTCTCTTTTCATATTTAAATATCTGTATCAGCCTCCTGACTCATTCTAAACTCAATGTTCACTTATTAGCTTTTTCCTGAGCTTTCAACCCTGTCCCCACAACCCTCCTCAGCGAATGGAGCCCCTGTCCCCACTAAAAGGAGATTTACTGCTGATGCTTTCTGTCCCTGATATAAAGCCTGTTTACTTTCTTTAGTACGGGCTTTTGTTTTTCCAGTGTTGAGAGAAGAGCCTCTTCAGCAGCAGCTCCACTGTTTTCCTGTAAATCTGAATTGAAGGTCAAGTGACGTGTGGTGGATATTTTTTGCGGCGCAGAGCGGAGTTTACTGCTCTCTGGTGTGGAGCAGGAAACAGATGTGACCCGTCTCACCTGTCAGAGAGACCCCCCACCCTTCCCCTGACACACACACACACACACACACACACACACACACACACACACACACACACACACACACACACACACACTTTCAAATGCAGTGTACTGCACGTAGAGGAAAAGCCGTTGCAGTTTTGTTCCAGCAGTTTCCGTTGGTCGTCAGATGATCAGTTTTCCATCAGAGCAGGAGACACTTTCTCTGTCCTGTCCGTCACTGTTTAAACACCACAGGTTTATAATCTGAGTTAAACATTAAAATGACTTCTCATCATCCTGGATTGTTTTAGAGAAGCTCTGAAAACGGTTACCTGAGGCTCCTCGTTCTGTATGAACTGTCCTGTTGCACCATGATAAACAGGTTTAGTCTTGATCAGACAGTTCTGGTGCTGAAACAGTTAATAATCCAGTAACTGGCATTTGGAGATGAAGCCATTTTTCATGTGAAATGCAACAAAACATTCTGTGGATCCAGCTTTTTGTGAAGATTTGCAGCCTTTTGCTATTTGAATTGTATTTATATATTTAATATCTTTGGCTCAGTGTTGCACTGTTGGTTGGACATAACACATTTGAAGACGTCACCTCTGGGAACTTGTGACGGGTATTTATTTGTTGTTTTCTGACACTTGATAGATAAAAGTTATTGAAAGAAAAATCCAGATGTTGAAAATCGGTTGCAGCTTTTTATTTTAATCTTATTTGGATGAAGCGAGACTCACATGTGATTTGACTCCTGACTCTCTTCTCCTCTCAGGCTGAGAGCGTGTTGCCTCTGACATGATGTCAGGGTTGAGCTGAAACATGATTTTAACTCGCTCTCAGGTGATAGATGTTTTGGGGTTTTTTTTTACAGTGCAGTGAGTCGACAGGTGGAATGTCAGTTTGGCTGCGGATGTTTTTTTTGGCTCTGAGCGTCACGACGCCTCGAACATCTGATTTGCCTGAGGCGAGCCAGAGTGTCACACCGTCAGCTGACCGAGAATCAATTACAGATCTTGTTCACATTGATTTGATCACCTAAAGTTATTGATGAGTTTGGAAAAGTGTGTTGATTTAATGATCTGGTTTCTAGATTCTTGTGAACCTTTCTTTTACGCCTTTAACAGAACTACGGCTTGGAGTCGGACCACCTGAAGACTCTGGTGGGGAAGATGAGAACGGCGCACCACAACCTGAGCAGCGCCGTGTCACAGCGCAGGAAGAACCCCGCCTACCACAACAAGAACTCCCATCAGCCCTCCAACGAGTTCCTGACCGCCGTGGTCGAGCTGATTGCAGCCGCCAAAAGTCTGCTGGCCTGGCTGGACAGGTGGGTGTCAACACATGCGTATACACAAACTCATGCTCTGATTGGACAGTGAGGACACACACTTTCTCTTTCATACACACAACTATAAACTACGGTTTTTGTGCCATAAAAGGCCTGAGGGAGTTTTACGGTTGACTCGGGGTTAAGAGAAAAAGAGAAGCGTGTAGATTCTCTCTCTCTCCTCTCTCTCTCTCTCTCTCTCTCTCACAATCACACGCACACACACACACACACACACACACACACACACACACACACACACACACACACACACACACACACACACAGTTATTAGTGCGGGTCCTTGTTCACACGTGTGGCGTCTGTCAGCTGTTGGTGTGTGTGTCTCTCCTGCCTTCAGGATTTTCTCAGCTTGTATCAGCTTGAAGAACATTCCTGCTTCACTGCAGCTGTTACACACGAACACTGACGCCCAGAACACACCTGACACCTGACAAAAAACACCTCGGGTCGAAGTTCAACAGCATCTTATTGAACCTGAATCATGTAAATCAGATTAGTTTCAGCTTTAGGATCTGAAGTTAATAAAAAAAAAACACCTTTTATCAGCTGAAACATTAATTAGTGTAAATTTAATAAATGTTTACAACCTGCTTCTGTTTTTAAATGATATGAATGAAGGTGACACACTGAGATCATCTGATTATTTCACCAGAGAAGATTTACAGTGTCACTCTGTTGGTCCCGGTCGTGTCGCAGAGTGATGCTTCTTCCTCTAACAGATGATCTTTGACGAGTACAGTCACCGGCCTGCAGACGGCACATTAACCACACAGCTGCTTCTTCATGGGCTCACTACAGGCCGTCCCACTGTAGCAGTAACATCACAGATATCCTCTCTCTGCAGGACTCCTCTGACGAGCGCCAACGACTTCACCTCCACCAAGAGCAGAATCATCCAGCTGTGTCTGGAGCTCACCTCCACCGTGCAGAAGGTCAGTGAGACTCTCTCTCATTATTTAACCAGGGAACGTTCAGGATCATCAGACGTTTTCTGTGTGAAACTACTGTTGTTTAACTGGACAAACACTGGGAGGGAAAAAAGTCAAACTTCTCATGTCATGACCTCTGACTGTTTATTTGTCCAGCTTTGATGATGATGGTGATGATGATGGTGATGATGATGCATCAGATAACAGACGTTTACATGTACAGGCTCCTTCTGATGAAGATTCTCTTTGAGATATCACTGTCACCGAAACAAGAGTTTTTCATGTTAACTCTTTGTTAAACTTTACATTTAAAATTGTCTTTTGTATTATTTTATACACATTTCCCAGAATTCAGTCTGACATGTTTGGGATCTTCCAGAATTTAAATTAAAGCGCAAGAGGTTCAGCTCCGATGGAACCAGTTCAATGACAGTGGAAAATATCAAATCATGATCTTAATACAATCTTCCTTCATGTTTGTGTTGCTGTTAAATCCCAGAGCGTAGTTTTAATCAGTAAAATGTTCACTGTTGATGCTTCAGTCCAGAGCAGATCTGAGTGCAGGTGTTAATGTTGACTCTAACCCCCCCCCTCCCCGAGTCTCCGAGTCCCTGCTGACACGCATGTACATGCAAACACACACTGAGGCTGCTGTGGAAAAGAAAACATCACGGAGACGGAGGACCTACTGAAAGAAGCTGCTTTTAACACCTGTGAAGTGACAGTTGTTGTAAATGAGCCATTGTCAGAAACGTGTGCAGTACATGAGATTCTCTGAGAGCTCAGTCAGACTTACTGATTAAACCTCCAGATGAGAGAATCATCACTGATCGTCTAAAACCTTCAGGACCAGATCATCATGACGGGATCTGATAAAGATGTTTCCACTAAAGCAGATCTCCACTACAAAAAATGTTCTTATCGTGCACAAATCCAATGAAAATACCAACAACATGTTCGTTCTTTTCCCAGCACTTTGACTTTGGCTACAAGTTTTAGCTGCTCACTGTAGTTTTTATCAAGCAGCATTTGTTTGGGACTATTTTCAGTAGCGGATTAATCCACATTTGGTTCTGTAGTGAGTATTTGTGGCAGCATCTTTGTTAATTAAAGGAGCACAAATTATTATTTTTTCTCCATCTAACAATTAATGAAATTATTCGATCAATTAGTTGCTTAATGATGGAAGGATATGAGCGACTTTTTGATTGTCCATCTTCAGACATTCACCTGTGTGTTTCAATCCAATCAGTCCAGTTTCAATGAATGAAAACCCCTGAAAATAAACCAGAAGGCTCTAACGCCACCAGAATACCTGATTCAGTGTTTCGCTGAGAGAAGCTCAGGTGAATCTTGAGTTTGTTGCAGGACTCACAGCTGAGGTTGTTGCCGTGCAGCTGGATGTTTTGTGCAGCCTGTCACCTCCCTGTATGTGACTGCAGAGCTTTGTGCTGCGTTGAGGCGTCGCCCCGCCGTGCCGTCGTGCAATCATCCTGTCAGCCTGTTTACAGGGAGCTGTTATTTCACCGACCGCAGGAGGAATCTTCTCGGTGTCTCTGCGAGGCGTTTGCGGTCCCTCCCTCTGGTTTCTCTCTCCTGTGGGCTGTCATTTCTCAAATATTTGTTTTCCCGCTGATTCCTTTCTCTTTTCTTTTCCTCCCATCCCATCTCTGCTCGGCATCTCTTATTATGCCTTTGGCAAAAGCTGATTGATATGCACATGTGTTGTCTGTGTTTTTATTTAAGACTAGAGAGTGTTCAGCATTGTATTGTTTAAATGTTTGCATGAGCCTCGTAGATATTTTGTGAAAAATCCTGTCGTTGGATATCTGGAGAATCTGTTGGAAACTCTGGGACTAGAATCAAAGTCTCTGTCATGTTGAATGGTGCAGCTTTTATTTATAAAGAGGAAGTAGTGAAGAGTCTGGATGACTCATGTGACAACGAAGAGTTTCCTCATGTGACTTTCTTTTCCTCATTTTCATGGATAATTTGCTGTGGTCAGTCTTTTGTCAGCTGTCCCTGCTCGTTGTCACGTCCCTCTTCAGAATAAAAGCACAAAACAAAGGGAAATATCTTCTGCTTCAATGAGTTTAAAACGTAAAGGTCAAAAACTGGAAATAAACTGTTAAATTTGCTATAAACACCTGTTTTCAAGAACATTTTATTAATTTATCTATAACTGAAAATAGTGCTTTAAAATATCAGTCACCTTATTTGACATACAGATGTTTTTTAATAAAAATGCAGATGTTTGAATTGTGTTATCTTTGCAGTGTGACGTCCATCAGTCAGTCAGTGTGTCTGTCTCTGTAATTACAGGACTGCACTGTTTATGAGATGGAGGAGAAGATTCTGGAAGTGGTGAGTTTCTGCTGCTTCTCTTTGCACAAAGATGCTAATCTGAAGCATGTGAACACACACACGCACCCACACACACACACACACACACACACACACACACACACACACACACACACACACACACACACACACAGAGTCAGTGAACACATTTCCTTTTGCCATCCTGTAGAGTGTGTGTGTGCAGGTCTGTTTATTCAGCTCAGGAACGTCCACTTCTTGTGTGAGATAACACTTCCTGTTGGTTGTTCTGCTTTCCCCACAAACAACTGATGTTCAGTCACTTTCTAATTTGACCTCATCACCTCAGGTTTTAGTTCAGTTGCTCAAACTCCAGATGAACAGCATTAAAAGCTGTGACTCGTGTCGAGGCGTTAGTGTGAAAGAGTTTGTTTTCACCTGGACAAACAGAAAAGACGGAGGAGGAAAACACTGCAGATAAAGATAAAGCAGACAATCAAAAAACAGACACACACATAGTGTTGTTTAAAGCTTTGAAAACCAGGCAGATTGTGTCGATACAGTCATGTAAAAAAATAAATAAATTCTTCTCCGCCCCAGAGAGAAACTTGATGTTAAGTAATAAAACTCACCAAACGTAACGAAGCAGATCAATAGAAGAAGGAGGAGCAGGACTTATTAATGTTCCAGAAGAGCTTGTTTTCCTGGTTTACTGGTAATTTCCTGCCCGTAAACGTGTTCCTGATCAACCTCCCTGATTCCCATGACCTCACAGCCTCTGTTGTGCTCCAGGCGTCAGTGTCTAATCAGAGTAATGACCATAAAAAACGGCGTTCAGGCTCCTGAAACTACAGCGCTGCAACATTGTCAATTATTCTATAATTAATATAAATGAAAATAATGATATCATCAAAGCAGAATCCCAGAAAATAACAATTTCAAAAATGACGAGATATGTTGAAAGTACGACTTTAATCACAAATAAACATGAAATAAATTTAAATAAACACGAGTACAACCAAGACGTCATCCAGGTACCAAAGAATGAAGCATAAACTACAGTCGAAGCTTCATCTACTGGAGTTTTCTGATTTTTGACTTTTTAAAATTTCCCTCCAACTGTTTGTGTCTGACATCTCCCTGAGGCTTTGAAACCTGCAGCGTACAAATGAGTGTGAAGAGTTTTTATTTTTCTCGTGTGTGTTTCAGTCACGAGCTCTAAACGGTATCTGTGAGAAGACGGTCCAGGTGACCTCTGACCCCTCAAAGAGCGAGATGGCCTGTCTGGAGGAGGTCCACATCACCAACATCAAGCCTGGGGAGGGACTGGTGAGTTCAGATCAACATGGATTTAACAGACAAACAGTCAGGACAGATGGCGGCAGGGAGGGGGGAGCTACTCACCGAAGTAATCCATTACTAATAATCAATCACATCGCTCATACTTTAATATTTTAATTTTTAAACAGTCATGCTGAGTTTGTTGTTAGCTCTGAGTTCTGACAGGTAAAGAGCCAAAGGGACAGAAACACATTCATTTACATAAGAGATAAAAAGGCAGAAAATAAAAGATCAAATACAAATAGAGGACAAACGTCTTTGTTTACGCTCAGGCCGTATCAGTGGGACACCGCCATCACTTAACTACCAACTACTGTAAAAAGAAAACCCACATTTTAACCCCGAGTTCCCCTGAGAAACACTAACAGGTACTTTACTGCTGCACCATGAACCACAAGCAGCACCGAGCAGAAAACAGAAACAGACGCAGGTCCAGAAAGGAAAAACCCTGAAACCACCACTGTAACGAGGAATTACAGAGAAACCACAGGGGACGTTTTTATACAGAGGACTCATATACACGTTCTCAAACACTGAGTCTGTTTCATCTCCCAGGGGATTTACATCAAGTCCACGTACGACGGGCTTCACGTCATCACAGGAACAACGGAGAACGTGAGTGTGCTGCTGCTTCTGTCTCACAGCTGCTGTGTTGTTTTAGACATTTAGTTTCACTCTGGTCCTAAAAGTCATGTAAACAATTTCTAGTTTGTTTTGGTGGAAACAGTAGGAGATATGTTCTGTACTGACCTGTATTGACCTTCCAGTCTTTGCTGTGTTTGATCCGTCTCTTCAGTTTCACCCTCTAACACGAGTCAAACACTGTGTCTCTGTCTGCTGCTCAGTCTCCTGCAGATAAAACCCAGAGGATTCACGCTGGAGACGAAGTCATTCAGGTCAACAAACAGACTGTGGTGAGTTCAAAGTCTAAAGGAAGAGTTCCACCTTTTGGGAAATCTGCTTATTTATGATCTTATCAAGGTTTAGATGGGAAGATTGATACAACTCTCATGTCTTGAGCCAGGTTAGCGTAGCTTAGCATAAAGACTGGAAACAGGGGGAAACAGCTAGCCTTAAAGAAATCCAACTACCATCACGTCTAAAACTCCCTGATTAACACGTCATGTCTTTGTTTAATCTGTACGAGGATTCAAGTATGAAAACATTTGGTTTTGTCGTGTGCCGAACTGTTTTTTCTTACCACTGAGTTGTTTTAGGTAGAGAGTAAACAAAGAAAACTCTTACTTAATGTACAGACATGAGAATGTCTCATCTAACTCTGAACTCTTCCTTTAATTGTACCTGTGTTGTGTTATGTGCTTTTTGGTGGCTGTTAAATTACAATTATATTTATTAGGAGAGAAATTTTAGTCTTACTTCAGAGTAGTGCCCTCTTCAGGCTGCAGCATTTATAACAGCTCAGTGTTCTGCCCTGTGATTGGTCCAGGTGGGCTGGCAGCTGAAGCACCTGGTGGAGAAGTTGAGGGCGGAGACTGGAAGCGTCGCCCTGGTGGTGAAGAAGAGGCCGTCCGGAGTCTCCGGCGGTTTCGCACCTGCTCCTCTGAAAAACCTGCGCTGGAGACCGCCGCTCGTACAGGTAGCGAGGGGCTTGGGGGATCCAGCCGGATCATTACGGAGGAGGAAGGGGGCAGGTGGGTGAGCGGTTCGTGCTAGAAAGGTCGTGAGCGGAGATGAGGGCCAAAAGAGCTATGGAAAGAGCAGGGTGAGCTCAAGCACAGCGACTCTGGGTTTCTTCTTCATTTCATTTTTTTTATTTTTTCTGGGTTTGACAGTAAAATGGAGGAATTCTGTTTGTTTAGCTGAAGGTTGTGATTTCTAGAGCTTCTGTGCAGCACTTGAACGCACCACAAAGACACACAAACAACCTGAAATCTGTTTGTTTCTTTTTTATTTTACTCACTCACTCTAAACATTGATGATCACAGGTATTTGGACCTGACCTCCCAAAATGCATCATGTCAGGACTCAGAACTATTAACACAAAAGAAGAACTCCATCAGTATTAGTATAGAGTAGAATGAGACTTTATTTTCCACCAAAGAGAAAATTTATTTATTTCTTTTATTTATTTGGATCCTTATTAGCCACTACCAAAGTAGCAACTACTGTTCCTGCGGTCCATTCAAGTAAAACTTACATCATAATTCAAAACAATGTCAATAATAACAACAGTGACAAGTTCCCACGCTTAATCTAAAGTAAAAGTCAAACATTTGATGCAGCTCAGAAATCAATAATGCCACTAAAGAATGGTCTTTAAACCAAAACATAAAAGAAGCACAAGACCGTATAATATTTTGAAAGAATATTGTAACTTCACAGTTTTAAAAGTAAATAAAACCTTAAAATCCATAATTGTGTCAATGCTTAATGCAGGTGCCAGGTTATGAAATGTATCATTAACTTCTGACCCGTACAGGATTAACTCTGATTTTACTTTGTTGAGTTGGAGGTAATGATTAGAGCAACATCTGGTTTTATGGATCAGTAAAGTTGCCTCTTTGGTATAAAAAGAAGAGGCGGCAGGAATAAAGGAAGAGAACTACTCTACTTCTCAGGGTGGGCGTAGTCACAGAGGAGGAGACACCCAGTCTGCTGCTGCGCTGAGGTGTGTGGGTGAACAATGGATCCCTTCTTCTCTTTTCCTGGAATTAAAAAAAAAAAAGCAGATAGGAAACCCTCCAAACATCAGGCTGTGTTGATGTCAGACCTCTGTGGAAGATGACTCATGTGTTACTTCACAATGTGACAATTCTGAATTCACCACGACGCCTTCAGGGGCTTTGTGTCGACTGAGGTCCAGGATGTGTGTGTGGAGGGGAGATAGGCTCCATGAGTTCAGTCTCTAATCTGGGTCTGTCCAAACAGATCTGAGGTCAGTCTGTCTGTACGTCACCGTCACTCCCAGCATTCAGTTCAAAGGTCATCAGCGCATACACCTCCCCCTGTACTCAACTCAACTTTTTCACTGTACATTCATTAAACAATTATTTTTAATCGGTCATTTAGAGAACGTTAGAATGTTTAGTGCTGAATGATTGGTCTTTATTGATCAATCAGTTGGCTTCTCATATGTGAAGATCTGCTGCTTTTATTCATTTTATATCATTGTTGTATTGTTTGTTTGTGTTTGGAGTTGTGGCCCTAAAATTGACAATATTCCATCACACAAGTGACCAGAGTCCAAAGTGAACTCTGCAAACTGAAAGGCGAGAAAACATTTGACAAATTACTTCAGCAATCCATTTATATTTATTTTTAAATACACTTGTCATCTTATTTATTTTTATGTTCCCAGAGTTCTGACTCTTGTTTATCTGTTTTTATTTTTAAATCTCAAAAAGGATCCTTAACCTGTCATTACCAGTAACTAATTATTACTAAATTATTGTTATTATTACCAATTATAAATTATTATTAGTATATAATCTGAATTGTAGGGTTTTCTTCTCAAACAGCATATAAACACACCGTCTGACTTCCCTGCGTGTTGCACTCAACACAGGACCACTGCAAGATAAACATCTCACACATATATAGATTTATTTTAATGGGGAAGTATTTTCCTCAAACAGCTGATGACTGTAGTTTTTACTAAACGTTACTCAAACAGAAGGAAGTGGTGCATTTGTTGGGGACTTTTTTCTGCGGCGGATTAATCCACATTCAGGGCTCTTATTTGTGGTGTGTGTGGGACTGAGTCAAAATAAACTACAGTGTGTGTTCATGATGATGAAGGAACATGTCATCCAGTGTAACAGTGAGACTCACTGATGCTTCTGAACAACAGTGCAGCTCTGTGGCTCAGAGGAATCACAACCGTCAGGCTGTGATACACACAGAGACATTTATTGTTGGTTTTGGTCTTTTTGGGGGATTTTTGATGAAATGAAAAGAATAAATCACCAAACTGATCTTTAAGTGGAATTGGCCTTAAATCAGCAGATGTTTTTTTGCTGCGTCTCAAACTCCTTCAGGCGTGTTTTTCCAACACAGACGAGGCAGAAAAGGAGCTGAGAGAATTTCCTGTGTTTATGGAGGAGAGGAAGGAAGGAGAAGAGCTTCGTCTGCTGTTTCTCCTTCTGAGCTGGAACGTCTTACTGTTGTTTTCTGATAAACACCTCCTCCTCCTCCTCCTCCTCCTCCTCTGCCGCTGCTGTTCGCTGTGTCACAGAACTGATTACACGTAGTTAAAGCAGAAAATATAAAGTGTTGTTAGTGTCAAATACTTTTGTTTCCATAATCAAAGAACAAGTATTTTCTATTTAAAGAAGCTGGACGTGTAAAAGGATGTGTGGTCATTCAAATGAAAAGCAGCGGCTGTCCTTCAGTAACGTCTGTCTCTTCTCTCAGACGTCTCAGGGAGCTCCAGGTCTCTACAGATCTCGACAGCCAGAAACCTCAGACGCTCCGGGGAAGAGAGGGAGAACAACCATCTTGGATTTGTACATCCCTCCTCCCCCTGCAGCGCCGTACGTCCCGCTGTGAGTACCACCGTTTATTACAACGCAGTTCATCCTCCTGAACACCATGCATGTACACTGATATACAGCATGTTATCTTATATTCCTGGTGTCCTCTCTGCAGAGACGGGAACATGAACGTGTCTCCAGGTGTGAAACTGAGGCCCAAGTCTCCGAACTCGTGTCTGGACTCAGACGTGCGGCGACGCTTCACTGTGGCAGACGACAACAGGACGCCAGAACTCCCTCAGCCGGTCCCCGTCCGCCTCCGACAGCGCTCCTCCACACGCTGTGAGCGCACACACACGCACGCACGCACACACGCACACACACACACACACACACACACACACGTTTGTACTTCCCTGACCTTTAACCCTGACTTAAACCTAAATCTAAAACCAAGTTGAGCTGCACAATTAATTGAAATATTATCTAATATCACAATATGGCCAAGTGCAACATTCAGACTCTTATAGCTTATAATAAACTTTTTATTGGCTCTGTTCCAGTCACATTTGATGAATATGCAGAAGTGGAACTGATCACAGATCTGCTATCAAACAGATTTTTGAGTTCTCATAAATGGCACAAAGTTCCAAACTAGAATAAAGAAGATCCCAAAGTTTAAAAGTTTTTAAAAGTTATTGTTTTTTTATGAACCCTGGCGTGATGAGGAGCATCACAGCAGCTGACTGAGTGTGAGCAGGTCTTAACTTCCAGCACTAAAATCCATCGTCAGTCAGAGTTGGACTGTAGAGTTTAGGAGTCAGAAAGTTCAGACTGACACAGCTCTTACTCTTTCTGTGAATTCAGCCCTGAACAGATGAGGTGGAGACAGTTTGATCAGTTTCTACACAGGCATGTGTAAATATGTCTCAGTTTTCATGTCCCGTGTTGCTCTGAATCAGGTTTCTGTGCTTTGTCATTATGTGAGTGTGACCACCGTGACCTGAACGAGAACACAGAGCGAGCTGCGTGGATTATATTGAACGAGTGATGCAGCACAAACATGTTTTTGATGAGAAATAAAGATACAAACATCTGAAAGATCCTGTGACCTCTTGTCTGCACATCAAGTGACTCCACATGTTCTGTCCCAGAGGCAGAGACGCTCTGCTCTGATTCAGCTTCTTAAAGAGACGATCTAAATGTTTTTAAATGACGCACTTTCAGAGTTCAGAGATGGATACCTCTCTCCTGTCTGTGTGGTAAATCTGATTTTATTATCACCTCTGTTGGTGCCTGTGGCTCCTGCAGCTGCTGTAAGCACATGAAAACAAAATGAAGTGTTTTATTAGTCTGAATATTTTCCTGCAGGTAAACCTCGGCCCGTCTCCATGCCAGCAGAGGCGTTCTCAGGCGTGTCTGACCGTTCCTCCAGGTCCAGAGCTCAGGGAAGGAAAGGTAAGCTCCAACTGTCCGGCTGAAAACCAGACGCAGCTCAGCGTCTGTAATCTGAGCGTTATCAGTAATGGCCGCCGTCTGCCTCATTAACAGCCGAGGATCGACTGCGGCGCGGCGAGCTGCGTGCTCTGAATTTTTACCTGGCCGATCATTAACCTTGAGAGCTGATGCTGATTCACAGTCACAGCTCAATGTTGTTCTTAAAGCACTTCACCTTGAGAACCAGACTGTGTCTGAGTGTGTGTGTGTCGGACGTTTGTCCACGATAACAGGCTGTTAATGGAGGTTGAAGTCAGAGCAGTTAAATACAATATATATAAAAGTCACATTAAGAGGTGGAAGGTTTTCCACTGACGCTGAAAAGAGTCTAACAATAGAACTGACGGGACAAACAGCTGAGACAGGTTTTATATCGAGTCAGTTACAGGAGACTTTATATTTAAAACAGTCACATTTCAGCACAACAGTAATATGTCTGTTTCTACTCATTTCTGTTTGTGGTAGCAACATTTTTTTTTTTTTTTTGTAACATAAATCCTTTGGTTCTTGTAATTTCTTGAATGAAGTCACATGATCTTTAAAAGGAATCAGGTCACTCAGTTTGTTGAAAGTTAAAAACCAATGAGACAAAATAAGAAGTTGAATCATCTCATGGCTCAAGGTTTATGAATGAGCAAAACAAGTCGAACGTCCCTGTAGCTCAGTTACAATCCTGATGTTCTCATTTCATTTATGTGAAGTGCTTCAGCCATTGTTGTTCCTCCTCTCTGCCTTTACCTGTTGCTGTGAGCTCCTGTCATGTGGCTTCTCACCTCACCTTGACGTCACAAACAGCTTGTATAATAATTTGTTGTGATTGAAATATAAATACAGTGATTTATAATTTTGAATTTACAGTGTTCACTGGGAGAAAAGTAGATTATTTCATATTTCGAGTTTCAGACTTCTCTCTCAGCTTCCTGTAACTGATGTTTTCACACTCAACAACTTTATGACTTGCAGGTGAGGTAACAGAATCATGGAGTGTGTCTTTAAAGTGAAACATATAGAGAAGTTAAACCTGTAGAGAGTTCCAGTGAAGGACAGAGGCGTCGTTCAGCTGTCAGACTGCAGAAGACTTGTTGACTCCTTGTTCCCGCCGTGTCTCCTGAACAGGGCGGGACGTCCTCCACAGGTACCTGAGTAATGAGGGCATCAGCACCATCACGGAGGAGGAGCAGTGTTACCCTCTGCCGTACCGAGGACACCCGTCCATCCGTGGCGTCGACCACATCAGAGGCAGCCAGTGCTTCATCAACGCCGACCTGCACAACAGCGCCACCATCCCTTACCAGGAAGTGGCGTCCAAAAAGTCGGCTCCCTCCTCCACCACCGCCGCCGCTCCTCCTCCTCAGGCTGTAAACAAACAGTCCACCTCGCTGCTCGGCGGCTGGCTGGCTCGCCTCCGGCTGCTCAGCCACTGATGGAGGAAAAACACAGTTTAAATCTTAGAGACAAATTCCTCTCAATGTCAATGATGTCATTTCTCTTTGGTGAAGCTGGGATTCAGCTCAACAAAGAATTTTAAAAGTGAGTTCTAGATTGAATCAAAGATCTTATGATGGAGGAGGACAGAAGGAAAGACAAGAAAACTGCAGCATCACACCAGCACTGAGCAGGTTTTGCAGATATTTAGTGAGAATATTATGATCTAATCTCCACTGACCAGGTGTAGCTGTGATGAGGGGACTGACAGCTGTTCACTCTGATTTCTGCTTTTAAAGAGCAACAAAACAACCCTGGAAATCTTGTTTCTGTCGACCTCCCATGGTTTAACTTGTCGCTCCAGGACACTGTGACATCACTGCTGGCTGTGGTCAGAGGTGAAGCAGAACTGAAACACTTTTCAGCCTGGTGATTTTAAAATAAAATTTTTGAAGTATCTGCAAAACTAATGACATTCCCATCAGAGCAGCACTCTGTCTAAATATAACCTCACTGGGCTGATGGTGTGACTGTAAACTGCAAACTGGGATCCAGTTCTCTGGCTGCTGCAGGTCACCTGGTCAATCAACAGACTGAATGAAAACATGGACATAACAACTTAAAGCCTAAAGTCTGAGTTCACCACCTGCTGCATCTGTGTCAGTCACTGGAGCCTGAGTGTGACAGGTTCAGATGATCAGGACAAACAATCTGGATCGTACCTCTCTCTTTACGCCTTAAAGACTTTTAGCTGCTGAAACCATCTTGTATTGACTTTTAAAAAGAGCTCATAAAAGTATTCAGACAACTCTACTTCAGTTACGTCTTTGACAGCTGCGTCAAAGAAATATGGTGATATCTCTACCTGTTTGAATATCCACACACATCAAACTCAAGGCAAAACACTTGAGAAACAGTTAAAATTCTGCATGAGAAAATGGTTTTACTTTTTTGTTTCTGGTCAAAAAGAAAATAACAAAAAATGTTTATGGTGCCCAAATCTGCTGAAAGTGAAGCTGGTTTTTGTTTTCAACAGATTTTGGTTCATGTTTATTGTTGACAAGAGTTAGAATCAGTAAAATCAAAAAGATCCCAAAATGTCAAAGAATTAAAACCTTAATGGGGAACATCAAATTCAAAGAGCAAAAAAACAAACTTGTGTATTTGTAGTTTAAAAATGATGAAGCATTTCTAAACATCAGAGCACCTTTTCCTCTTTATCTCAGGAGCCTTCAGTGCCTCTCAAATCTCGACGCTTGTCTGGACAAAAGAATTTGTAAATATGTTACAGCTTTTATAGACTGTTTTTATTACTATGACTGAACTTGAGTCTTATATCTGAGAAAAGTGATTTTCAGAGTATGAAATTATGAGAAGGTTTAAAAAAAAAAAAAAAAAAAAAGCTCTACACTGTTTATAAAATATTTGTGAAGCTTCAAACAGCCCTGTTACAAAAGTAATAATATTAAGTTGTTATTAAGGGAAATAAATAATTAACAGTCAAAGGCACTATGGCAGATACGAACATTAATGAAATGTTTAGGACTTAACATACAATTTAAGGAATAAGCCTTGAGGTTATTATAAGTGAAAACAAATGCATAATGTAAAAACTTCCAAATATTTGTTAAAATATCATCTTCAATAAAAAACACAAACACACGAAAGAGAAAATATTACTAAATTTTGCTGAACTTTAGGTTTGAGATCAAGTTTTTAAATTCCATGATGTTTTTTTTATATATTTAACCTTAAATAAATCAGTTTAAATCTCATTCTGAGTTAATTCTGAAAACTGTTGCTGTCGTCATCTGACAGTCGTCTCCAGATCCTCTGATGCAGGTCTGTTGGAAGCTGCTTAAAACTTCAGGTAAAACTAACTGATCTTCAGTATTTCAAGTGTCTCCAGAAAAACACCAGATGTTGATCTAATGAGTCTTTGAAGAACTCCTGTGTTTGAGGTTTCTCTCTGAAGGAGTTCCTCAGGGAAGCGTCATGGATCCTCTGATGTTTACGATCCGAGGAGCTCCTCAAGTTTCCTCAAAGACCTTTTTATTTTTGTAAACTGTTTCTGGTTCATGTTCGGTGCCTTAATATTAACAAACATTATGCAAGAATTACGAAGCTTGTACAGAAGATTATCAGAGTGTAAAAGAAACTGATATCACAGGGGCAAACTTTTATTTTTCATTGCTGGATATGAAATGTGGAAATAAACAGTTGAGCATATTTTTAGTTTCTGAACACATTTCTTTTTAAAGTGAGACTATAACAATTTAAAGACTAAATACTAAATTCTTCTCATAAATAAAATTTTGAATTCATCAGTGGTGGAAAACATTTTCAGATCTTTTACATCAGAGTGTTAAAATACTGTTACAGGTTGTGCATTCAACATGTTACTTTAGTAAAAGTACAAAAGTACTCATGTTTATTTTAATGTTGCACATGGTAAAGGTGGAGCTCATTTTAAAGACTTTTTATGTACTGCTGGCTTACTAAGGAGATTTAAGTCTATAATATATAATTTATTTGCACATTATATTTTGTTAATAATCTGAATCTGAATCTAGTAACTAAATTTATCAGATAAATGTAAAAGTAAGTGAGTTAAAAGTAAGAAAACTATAATATACTACAGTACTTAAGTAAATGTATTTAGTTACTTTCCACCACTGTAATTGATAGGTGATTGAAAAACACCATTGCTTAATTGAAAACACAGGGTTTTTCCTGTTAAAGCCTCTTTGGTCTGGTGTGACCAGCAGCTTGTGGCGGCTCATATCAACAAACTTTACGTTCATGTTGCTGTTTAACTGAAGTTATTGCGTCAGTCTGCTGATTTTATTTTCTGCTTATTATTTCATTCCCCTTTGCTCTCAGTCTGATCACCTAATGATGGCGTCTGACTGAAGAGAATCATGGAAAATGAAGTGAAATCCAATAGGCTGTCATCCTGTAATTACCACTTGTGACCACAGTGGCCACTGTTCAGCTAAAGTTGCGTAGTCTCACTTTAAGGTGAAAACTCATCACCAGTTTATTGTTCAGGGACACTCAGTTGTTCAGGATGAGTGATGAGTCACTTTGTTTAACTTCATTCTTCATGTTTAAATCTGAGTTATTCCAGAGTGTGATGTCTCTCTGTAACTTGTCAAAAATATAAAAAATAAAGTGCAATTTGTTTTGAAATCTTCTAATTTTAACTTTCCATTCAGTACAGTGATTCTGAAAAGACAGAAGGACTTTTGATGAGCTGGAACGAATGTAGAAAAACATTTTCTAATTAATTCCAGTACCTTTGGTAGTATGATTAACCTGCTAACACACAAAACATTTTACAACAACAGAACCACATTACCTCTGTAAGTTAATACTATGTTTTTGTTGCATTGTCATATGCATTAAAACATTTTTAATTCAGAGTTTTGACCAGTTGTGTAACATTTGGGACATCAACAATTTTTTTTCTAAATTAATAACTGATTTCAAAACTTTGTTGTTTGATAAATACATACAATTACATTTTCTTAAAGTGTGTGAAATCCATATTAATGAAACTCCTCAACTGTGTTTAAATTATTGTAATGTATTTTTCACATCTAACAGTTTAAAGAAAACTGAGCAAACCCCATCTGCTGATGAAGACGTGTGATGTGGTGGAAAGCACTGGAACAAGTTAAGTGGACCTTGAGTTGCTGTTGTTTTGTCAGATTGATTTATTTGGCTACAAAGAGCAGTAAGCAAGTACATAATAAACATAAGGAGTCCATTATTAAATAGCATCATATACATTTACATTAACAAGATTTTGTTGTCGTTGAGTTGCTGAACCACAATTAAGATTGAGATTAAGATTAAGTAATGTCTTATAATGACTTTAATGTAGCTGGTGTGAAGAGCCATGTTCAAGTCTGAGCCATTTCAAAACCACAGTGCTCTATCTAGTGGAGGATGTCGGAACTACACTGTGGAAAAAAACAACTCCATTAGCTTTGTCAAGTTTTAACCTGTGTACAGTGGCTTCACTTTTTGCACACTTAATTGTTCTGTAGACTTAATGTTTTCTACACTCAGTAACCCTTAATGACAAAGTCAAATCATGTTTTTAGAAGTTTTGCACCTTTTGTTAAAAATCAAATTCTGAAAAGTCTCATTTACACAAGTCTTCAGACCCTTTGCTGTGGCTCTAAGCTGTGGTCGGCTGTTTCCTGTTTACTTTGATTGTCTTTGCGCTGTGTCTAGAACTTGTCTGGAGTCCACCTGTAGTAAATTGAACTGACTGGACACACTTTAGTAAGACGTGGCAGCATCATGGAGTGGTGGAGCTTCTCAACAGCAGGGACGGGGAGACTGGTCAGAACTGAGGGAAGGATGGATGCAAGTACAGAGAGGTCCTTGAAGAAAACCTGCTCCAGAGTGGGAAAAGACCTGAGACCGGGACGACCTTTCAGCTCCACAGTGACCTGAAGCCAAGACGAGACTGGAGAGGCTTCAGGACAAGTCTGACTGTTCTTGATTCAACGTCCAGACTCTCAAATTGTTAGTAAAGCCTCATGTACCTGAATACTACTGAGAATTCAGACCAGTCAAACCTTCACATAGCAACACTTTTTACTGCATGGTAGATTAAATGTAAGGTAGCCATCATGCCATTATAAGACAGTTGTGTGTTTGCTGTGAACTGTCATTGGCAGCTTGTGTGAGATCAAACACCCACAGTCTCTCTCTCGCTCTCTGACACCACGACTCTGCACCAACAACAAAAACTATAAACCTCTAATAAATAAATGATTATTTGAACAACTGCAGCTGCAGAAATGTTTTATTTTTTGGAAACAAAGAGGAAGTTTCAGAGCAACAGATGAGAGCAGAAGGATTATAAAGAACATGTGAAACAGGAAGGATGCCGCTGAGTCGATGTGGCGTCCGTGTTCTTGCATGTGTGAGTGTGATTTAGACTCTGTGGTCTGTCTCCGGGTTGTCGTTTGAATTCTCACAGACGAACTGAAGTTCCTCCTCCGCAGAGCGTCAGTCTGCTGTAGACACACCGAGCTGCTGGATGTCCAGGCTGCAGGTAAGACAATAAGTCAGGTTGATTCTCTGAGAGCAGCAATCAAAGGTCACTTTAATGTAACTTTCTACAGAAGAAACACTTCCTGTAAGAAGTGCTGACAGTGAGGTCTGTAGATCATCAGAGCAACAGGGTCTCTGAGATGAAATACTGACTCTTCATAGTTTTGCATGAAGGTGCACTGTATAAGATATGACTTTATGTTGTTTATGAGAGTTTTTATTGTTGTTCTCCCCATTTACAACATTCGGTGTGCAGGGGAACTAAACTGCGACCGTCAGTGTTACGGTTCACACAATAACAAAACACCAAACACAACAAGCACAAAGACAGTGAAGTGTCATAAATGAAAAGTGACGTCACATTTGTAAATTTATGTTTTGCTTCCTTGAAAAAAGAAATAAGCTCATCAGATGTGACATCAGGTCCGTTTCATAGCTTTTCTGGAGCTTTTGATCGTATCACATGGTCTTTACCTGCAGATGGAGTTTGCTCAGTTGTCGTGGATTTGCAGATGTTCATATTTCTGTCTTTATTATGTTTTTGGGTCGTCTGTACATCTGTCTGATTGTAAGTTGTTGATCAAAGGCCAAAGGTCAGTGTGACCTTACAAAACACTCAATGATAACTCAATAATTTGTGTACTAGTTATAATAAAATACACTTCACACCTTTTATTAAATTCTTTCACAGTCTTCACTACACATATGAGTCTGGACAGACATGGATGTAAACTGCAGCTTGACTGGCTGGGGGAGTGATACGACCTCAAGGTTGTAATTCTAGTTAATTCTAGTTTGGTGTGAGTACCGATTGTGTGTGTGGTGCCAATGTGTGTGTGTGTGTGTTGTGTTGTGTGTGTGTGTGTGTGTGTGTGTGGTGTGGTGTGTGTGTGTGTGTGTGTGTGTGTGTGTGTGTGTTTGTGTGAATGTGTGTGTGTGTGTGTGTGTGTGTTGTGTGAGAGAGAGAGACGAGAAGAGAGGTTGAGAGAGAGTAGAGAGAGTGATTATTAGGTCAGATATGGTCAAAAGTTCCAGAACAGCTACTAAATGAACCTTGTGGTCAGAGGTCGGTTTCACAAAGATTTGTAACTACAAAGTTTGTTGTAACTAACATCTAAAGTCTTAACTCGTATTATATCGTACTATATGTTGTGTTTGTGAAATGATCTTAACTTGCATTAGACTAATCTAAGAGCACGATTCAGGCTGGTCTAGACTGAGCTTTAGAAAAGCCTGGTAGGTTTGTAGACAGACACACAGATGTGGATTTCAGTCTGAGGTTTATGGGCACAAAAGATTAACACTATCTCTTGGTTTACTCTGACAATAAAAGGTTTTCCAGGAAACAGCATGTGAGATTGTGGTCTGCAGAATTGAGGCCAGAGGTCCATTTAACATCGTCCACAAACACAAAAACACAAATAGAAAACTGCCTCCGTGCAAGGGGAGGGGGGTAGTTCTGTACAACTTTACCTAAAAGGTTATCTTAATAATACATAAAAGAAATTTACAATGATAAAATACCCATCAGCCATGAATACATAAAAACAAATGTTTTATAATCCTCCCAAAAATACTTATAAAATCCTCAAAATATTCATAGAGCAACAAAAAAAGAATATTATTGTCCTTCCTATTATCATTCTTTATCTGGAGGATAATCATGCTCCAAGTTTCAGGCCTACAGTTACCATGATGCTTTGCTTCTGTAAACAAGACTTATTATGTCGTCAGAGTCAGTGAGTTGGCTGTGGACTACAACTTGTTGAGCTCAGTATTTTTAGTCTATATTTGTTTACACTCTAGCAAACTAGCATTATTAAAAATGTGCTGAATTAGCCATCACCACTTCCTGTTCGAAGTTCAACCATTAATATACAAACAGCTGCCACTGGATTTCTTAGATACAGAAGTAAACTTAAAAATGTAACGATTCTTAGGCAAGTTCTGTTACAAGGAGCGTCTTTTTTCTATGGTTTCTAAGTGCATTTGTGGATATTTATTCACAATGGATGTAGGTAGATAATGATAGAAAGGGAAGTGCAAGTCACACTGAATCTAAAAATATGTGTATTATGTCTGTATATTCAGATTTGACTGAGTTATGACTCAGAGAAGGAGTGTGATTTTTGGCGCAATTTTTTAGGTGCTAATGTGCTACCTGCCGTACAGCCTGAACCTTTGAGCCAAGCTGCTCTCTGCCGTCTCCCCTCTACAGGTCGACTGCAGCCATGAGTCGGCGGCGTGTTTCGGTCAAAGACCTGGGCGTGGTGGACTGTGAGGGCTGGCTTCAGCGCAGGAAGGAGGGCCGCAGCTTCCTGGGAAGCAAATGGAAGAAATACTGGTTTGTCCTACAGAAGAACTCTTTGTACTGGTACAACGACAAGATGGTGAGTCACAACAACAACGTTTGAACGGTAACACAAAGACATGATGTCCTAAAGGTTCATAGCATGTTCAGCCCGAGGTTCAAACTCAGGTTTTCTGTGATTTAATCTGGAGAAACAACAGAATGATATTCATGGCTCCCAGAGGATGAACCCTGCAGACTTTGACGTTTTGATTTTAGTATTTGGTGTTTTGTGTCTGGGTCTGTTTTTCCTGGTTTGGGTCTTTTAATTCCAGTAAAAGGAAATTGTGACGCGACAACACACACTGTTATTTTAACTATATATAATATAAATATAAAATCAGGATTATGATGCAATAATTAATTAACTCTGGATCTCCCATATTGGCACTAATCATGACACATTTTAAAGTAGTAGTAGTAAACAAACATGTAATAAAGGCTTTATAACTCACTGTAGCAATGTAGCTATAAGCAGATATAAGCACATTTTTAAGTGTTTATTAATGTAAAGTATCTGTCAATGTCTCTTTTAAAGACATATTTAATGTCAATACAACAACTGTGTTTACCATGTGTTACCATGGTTTCTGGTTTGGGTCTGGCTGTAAATACTTTTTGTTCTCAGGCTGACAGAAAGTTTGTGATCTCAATGAGACTGAAGTTAAAAACATTTTCAGAAACGAGGTCAGACGTCAGAGCAAACACCCCAACATGAGGGCAGAGCGCTGTTTCACCTACAGTCCAACGTGTGGAGCAACACACACATCACTACATCCTGTTACTGCGACCACCATCCGAGGCGTCGCAGATCACACAGGAACCTGAGCTCGATGTCTGTTGAACACACAGGAACACATGTGTGAGTTTCTGCTGATGTCAGAGTCTCTGATGCGCTGTGTTCTGCCTCTCCTCTGCAGGCGGAGAAAGCTGAAGGATTCATCAACCTGTCCGGCTTCACCATCGAACCGGCCAAACAGTACAGGAAGAAACAGTAGGACATGTTTGGTTGTTTTTTTTCACCCTCTGTCTTTGAAACATTTAGTCATGGCTGATGTGTGGAGGGGGAAAAAACCACTGAGTCTTACTCAGCTACTTGTGGTCAAGCGGCTGTGAATGCCTCCTGCACATAGTCAGTATAAAGCTGCACCATCACACAGCACACATCAGCTGTGAGGGGAAGTAAGTTAAAAGTGGCGCCCCATATATAGAGGCTACAGTCCTCACTGCAGTCGGCCCCCGGCTCGACTCCCGCCTCGGACGGCCCTTTCCTCTCTCTGCCTCCCCATCTCCTGTCTCTCTACTGTCCTGTCCATTAAAGGCACAAAAGCCCAAAAAAAAATAATAATTAAAAAAAAAAAAGAAGTAAGTTAAAAGTTAAAACTTGTCACTTCCCAAAGAACATCTCAGAGCTGATGATCTTTTCCAGTTTTGGTGGTTGGGGCTCAGCTGGATTTCAAAGATGTGACGGCTAAAACATGGAAGTGTTTGGAGGTTAATGGCTTCCAGTCCTCACACTGCGCAAAATACCTCAGAGTCCAGAGATGTAATCGCCTAAATATTTCAAACTTTGACCCCATGCATGAAGAAATCTGGACTGGACATACTTCTATCACAGTGTTGTCAGATATCGTATCAAAGAAATCTCCAGATCCAGATTCTTACAAGAACCTAAAAAGGAAATCTCTGGATTCTTGGGTTTTTGCTAGTATTAGTATTTGTCTCAAATATTTTGGACTTAATCTCAACATTGTTCTGTCAAAATAATACACTCGACTTCATATTTTCTATATATTCTTATAAATCTTATTTTATTATTAGACAGAATCTGTGTCTTGTGATATCTGATGTTTGTCTGTGCAGTGGACGCCCAGATGCTGCGGTTGTTATCGGCCTCTGCTACGTTACTGAGCGCTCTGTGTTTGTGTTGTTTCAGCGCCATCACAGCCACTCATCCACTGGTTGTGACCATTTTCATCGCTGCAGAGAGTTTCAAAGAGATGAACAAGTGAGAATTTATCTTTTTATTTTACAGTCAAAGTCACTCTGAGTTTTTACCAAGAGATATTTGGTCCAGACTGAAGTTTCTCACCAACTACTGGATAAATTGCCTTGAAATCTTTTCATAAATATTCATGTTCCCCTCGGGATGTCCCTCAGTGACTTTGGTGATCCTCTGACCTTTCCTCTAGCGCCATCCTGAGGTTGACATTTGTGGTTTTAAGTGAAATATCTCAACAACTATTCAATGGAATGGATGTATGATGAATCAAAAGACCTTTGATCCCCCGACCTTCATCTAAACCTCCTTCATCAGTTCACAGTTTTAATTTGTCCATTTTTTGTTTATGTTCGGTTTTATTTAGCAAATGTTAGCATGCTAACATGCTAAGCTAACATAAACATGGTAAATATTATTCCTGCTAAACAAAAACTGCAAAAATCTAAATGTGAACAAGGTTTTTCTACTGTTAACCTCACAGTTGCCGTGACAACACATTCATCTGTTTCTAGAAATGTTTTTCATTGTCTCACCCCCCCCCCCCCCCCCCGCATTTGTTGGAGTGCTGTGGTGGCTCAGTGAGGAGTCATTTATATCAGAAGAGTTCATCCTCTGGGGACCATGAACATCTACAGCAGCTTTAACATCAGTCCAGCTGATAGTTTAGATCTTTAACTGGACAAGTTCTCACACGTCTTTGTTTTAATGTTGAGAAACAAGGACAGGAAGAGGAACTGTTTCTAATCTATTCCTGACAGTCTTTCATCAACTTCTTTGTTTTGGTGGCTGTTATAATGAGAATGATGAGTCACGTGTGTGTGTGTGTGTGTGTGTGTGTGTGTGTGTGTGTGTGTTTTGTTGTTTGTGTGTGACTGTGTGTCAAACTCGTGTTGTGTGTGTGTGTGTTTGTTTGTTTGTTTGTTTGTTTGTTTTGTGTGTTGTGTGTGTGTGTGTGTGTGTGTGTGTGTGTGTGTGTGTGTGTGTAGGTGGATCAGTAAACTGTCAGAAGCTGCTGAGCCGTGTGAAGTGATCAACACTGAAGGTCAGACACTCTCTTCTTCTTTTATTCCTTCCTTCATGTCCCTCCATTCTTCCAGTCGTTCTTTGAATGTCCCTCCTTCTCCTTCTTCTCCTTCTCCTTCTCCTTCTTCTCCTTCTCCTTCTTCTTCTTCTTCTTCTTCTTCTTCTTCTTCTTCTTCTTCTTCTTCTTCATTTCATTCTCACTTTCTTTATTACAGTCTTTTTTCTTGTTTTCTTCCTCTTTCCTCTTTCTTATTTCCTTTTTAAATTTTATTTCTTTCACTCTTTCTTCTTCTTTTCTTTTGAATCTCTCTTCCCACATTTATTTCCATCTTTCATTCTTTCTTCTCCTATTCCCTCCCTTCTTTTCTCTGCTTCACTTGTCTCTTCCTCTTTCTTCCTTTCGCTCATCTTTTCTTGTCTCATCCTCCTTCACTCGTCTTTCTTTCTTTCTTCCTTTAATCTTTCAAACCATGGTCCTTTCTTTTTCCCACTTCCTTTCTTCTTTTCTTTCTTCCCTTCATTCTTCCTACATTCCCTTCTTCCCACCTTTATTTCTTTTTTCCATTCTTTCTCTCTCTTTTCTTCCCTTTCTCTTTCCCTTCTCTACCTTCCTATCCTTTACCTCTTCTTCTATTCTTTTGTTCTTTAATTCCTCCCGTCACCTCTTCTTTTCACCCATCATTAATCCTTCAGTCTTTCTTTCTTTCTTTCTTCATTCCTTTCTTTTCTCTTTCTTCTTCATCTGATCCTTCAATTTTTTTTGATCTCTCTTTTTTTATGCCTTCAGCATGAACTCGGGAACATTTTGAAGGAATTTCTTCAAATTTGGCTCAAACACTCACTTTGACTCAAAAATGAACTGATTCGATTTTGGGGGTCAATGGTCAAAGGTCAAGGTCAACATGACCTCACAAAAAGAAAAGTTAATTCGCTAGTTATGACTCAATTTAACACAAATGTGTAACAGGATAAAACAATGAAGTGATGACGTTTTATATCCGAAAGGTCCAAGGTCAACTTCACTGTGACATCATAATGTGCAGTGTTGTGACCATATTTCCTGCACCTTGACTTGTAGGCGGAGGGATACAACATGCAGGTGGTGGTTCTACTTTTCTTCATGTGACTTCTTCTTCCCTTGTTTGTTTACTTGGTTCTCGCTCAGAGTGCTACAGCGAGGACAGCGATCAGGACGCTGACGAGTGTGTGTCGACTGGTTCTCTGGACTCTGAACAGGAAACAGCTGATTGTGAAAACGTGAGTCTCAAAGTTCGTAAAGATGTTTGTTCAGATCCTCAGTGTCTGAAACCTCCTGTGGTTCTGACAGGGAGACGTCCTCCAGCCTCTCTCTGAGTCCTCGCCCTCCATCCCTCCCTCGACGGTCACCATGGAGACGGACAGAGCTGCCGCAGCAGCGTCCGTCCCTCTGATCCATGTCGGAGACAAAGAAGAGGAGGAGGCGGTCCATGGTAAACAGCTGGAACCTCACCTGGTTACCATAGCAACCGCAGCTTGAAGCCACAAACGTCTTGTCCCTGTGTTTGCAGAGACGCCGCCTGACGAGATGGAGAGTCTGTACCGTCACCTGAGGGCAGCCAGCTTGTCTCCGATGGGACGGTCCAGTCAGAGGGACTTCAGGACGTCCTTCATCAGACGATGTAAGAACGACAAAGTCAACGAGAAGCTTCATCTGCTCCGGATCCTCGGGAGCACGTTAAAGGTCAGTCCCAACTCTTCTGTTTTTATTCCTCCGCCCGGCGACGGTCCGAGCAGCAGCCATGTTGCTTTCAGGTTGTCTCATCCGTCTCATTCTCGTGGACACGATATCTCTGTCACACCTTTAAGGAACTTCTTCAAATTTCCATTTAGTTCACACTGACTGAGAAGAGATTAGAAGAAGTGAACTCAGTACAGAGAACTGTGACTCAGCAGCTGTGGAGTAAAGACAGAAAAAAAGTGTTACTTTAGCTTCAGAGTTTTCACTGATGTTTTCACTTGTTTCCAACGGCAACACTCAGCTTCCTCCTTTTAAAGCTTAAGAGTCGCATTAAGTCAAAACTAAAAGCTCCCTGTGGTGAACTCTGTCTGATGAAGTCACCTCAGAGCTCAAACCCTCTCTCGTCCCTCAGGCCAAACAGTTGGAGCTGGCGGCGGTGGAGCAGATCCTGAACGACCCGGCTCTCACGGCGCCCACGTACAGGAAGTGGAGACTCTCCAACCTCGTCCTGCTGCAGGAGATCGGTCAGCACGGCCGGGCGGCGGCGGCGGCGGCAGCAGCAGCAGGGGGCGCTGCAGAGCCGAGCTGCTGACAGGTTTCTGAACAGAGACTCAGGACTCACTCACACCAAAGATACATGTGATGAACACTGTTTTTATTTAATCTGTTCACTCTGAAAGTTTAATCCTCCTGGGACCAAGTGAAGCTGAGACCAAGCACAGGTGATGAACATGTCGATCACTTTCTTTATTATCCAAGTGTTTTAAAGGTTAAAGCTCCAGTTTGTTGCCTCATTCACTCATGATCACTGTTGTTTTTTAAAATATCCAAACACACAATTTGCTTCTTTAAATTGACATTTTAAGTATGAAACAGTGATTTGAACAGAACTCATGGATTCAGTCTTTCAGCAGCTCACTGGCATCGAGTCACAGGAGAGACATAAAAAAAGAATAAATCTATAAAAGAATAAGAAAATGAATGTGGGAGTAAAAGCAGGAATAAATAAAAGAATAAATAAGTAAATACAAACATTTGGAAATATAACGACAAATAAATTAAAAAATACCTTTCCTCCATTGGTTTTGCTTTTCTGTGAAGGCAAGAGAGTAAAAACAAGTGTCTTTATATTTCCACATTTTCTATTTACTTGTTTCTTCCTGCTTTTATTTCCTTTATTCTTTTCTATGGCTCTGCTGTGGTCCTGAGGTTCACACTACGACCTCAGACCAGTGCGTCTCATTCAGACTCTGGAGACAGATTCAGGATTCAAACTGAGCGGGAAAGTTTGGACGTCAGACTGAAGGAACCTTTAAAGTCAGAGGAGTCTGTTGGTGTTAGTGTCAGAACTGAACTGTGGGAAATGAATGAATGAATGTGTCATCATGGAGTGATGCGGCCAGTTTCAGGACCAGATTCATAGGACTTTAATCTTTCGTGATGCTGCCACCTACTAAGTCCTGATTGGTTCCATGCACATTAGCCCCACCCCTAACCAAGTCACTATGTGTTGTCATGGAAGCATTGTGTCCTAGAGCCTGTTGGGAGTTTATGAACAGGAGTCTTTGCGTTTACTGCAGGAACACACTGAGCAGTGGGACCAGCTCTTCTGCTCATGGTTTCAACTCTTTTCAAATGTTCGACATGATGGAATCTAATGTGTTTAATTAGATTAATGTTATTCCTTTGTGTTGTATTTCTGCAGTAAACACTCACATAGCTTGTTCACTCTTGTGTCATTTCACTACATCCCCATCAGTCACATATTAAACTAAATATCTGAATTTACAAAGACACAATGCTCGGCCTCATGAGGCTGCAGAGCTCATGAGTTACTGCAGAGCGGCCGGAGGATCCTGCAGCTGAACCTCGTTCATAAAACAAACAAACTAATTTCATACTTTCAGATAAAAAAAGAAACACAAATCTGTGACCACAGGATCATTTCCTCTACAAGAACAAGACAAACATCAAAGTGACAGTAAACAAATTTATTTTGTCATCTGCATTTACAGCTGGAATTCTGGGAATTCAAACACGACGTCTTTGCCTGTGAGCTTCTTGTACACACCAGAGAAAGTCTCCACCTGAAAGACAGGAAACAAACGTTAACCAGCATCAGTGTGATTTGCAGACACTGATCAGTGTAACCAGGTTTGATTTGATCATTCTGCAGTTTCATGGGCAGGTTGAGATTAAAACAAATTACAGACTCGTGTCTTAACTTGATTATTTAGAAGCTCCAATCGCAGCCAATTTATAATGATACGTGGAAAACATTTGGGAACCAGAAACAGTAAATATCTTGTTTTCTTCTTCAGAAATAACTGGTTTCTTTTCTGTCGATGGACAGACCGACTAATTCAGACTCAACGTTCTGTTCTTCAGTAAGACTAGTGCAGCCGTCGGTCGAACCTCAGCTACATGTAAAACGTATTTTCCCTTTATTTAAATCGCTGCAGCAAAATGTAAAACATAAACAATGTGAATCAATGTGCACTGCATGGTTTAGCTCCCCAGTCACGGCCCCAAAAGGACTCTGGGAAGATGTAGGAATATGCAGGACGCCCGTCCTCACCGGCCGGCGGCCGGGGACAGAGCTTTGTCTCCGACGTTGTGGAACGGGACTGTACGTCTCAGCTCAGAGCTACGCTCCCATACGCCACCAGGACAGAGCCAGGAGAGCAACTCGCTGGGTGTCCACGTCGGGTCACACTGCACCAGCCAATGAAACCACAGACTGCTTTGTGATTGGCTGACACCACACTCACTTTGTGTTCGACGTTGTTCTGCTGCGCCTTGTCCAGGTGGACCTTGATGAGTCGGCTGCTGTCCAGTTTGACTCTGATCCTCTTACCCACGATCTCACTAGGGAACACCAGGTCCTCCAAGATGGCGTCGTGGACCGCGGTCAGAGTACGGCTGGAGGGCGGAGCAAAGAAGAAGTAACGTTAATACTGAACAGCAGCCACCTGCCTTTCTGATGAATCAATCAATCAATCAATAATTCAATAAATATAAAGATTAATCTGCAAATGTTTTGACAGATTAATGTTCAAGGTTTGTTTCTTTACTTCATACAACTGTAAATTAAATCAGGGCTGAAACTCATGGTTTTTGATTGATTAATCTGCTCATTATTTTCACTTCTGATCATTTGGTTCATAAAACAACAGAAACAATCAAGTCCTCAGAGTCAGAGTCTGAGGTGACCTTTGTTTTGTCCAGAGATTTTTCAGAAATTTAACCAAAGTTTTACTTTGACGCTTCGATTCAATAATTGATCAGTTATCAAAACCAAACAGCTGAATAACTTAATGTTTTAAATGTAAACAGAAGGTCTTCACTTTTAACTACATTCTTTATTTGGAGCCCAAATCAGCAGCTCAGGCAAAAACAGTTCAAGAATCTTATGCAAATATAAAATCATTCATTTCACATTGTATTTGTTTCCAAGTCTTAACTCATCTATTAACAGATGTTGTGCACTGCATGGTTTAGCTCCCCAGTCACGGCCCCAAAAGGACTCTGGGAAGATGTAGGAATATGCAGGACGCCCGTCCTCACCGGCCGGCGGCCGGGGACAGAGCTTTGTCTCCGACGTTGTGGAACGGGACTGTACGTCTCAGCTCAGAGCTACGCTCCCATACGCCACCAGGACAGAGCCAGGAGAGCAACTCGCTGGGTGTCCACGTCGGACAAAGACTGGGTTTACGACAATCATCATCTCAGATGCCTGATCAGTTTCAGCACAAATTTAATATAAAAACAACTTTTCTTCCCAAATAGTTGAAAATAATTTTCAGACTTTAAAGAACATTCAGAGTTTTACTGAGGAAAATCAACCATTTCTGACTCAATCTCTATGAATTAACTACTTTAAAGAGATAAAATCACTAAGTCATTTAAGTCAAACATTGTTTCTAAAATGTGGAGATTTGCTGCTTCTTTGTTTAATGTGAAACTGAATCTTATCACAATCTCCTGGAGCTCAAATCGACTCATTTCAAAGTCAAGTCGATTGATTTACATCAAATATCTTTAAAGAAGTTATCATTCAACAGACTTTCAGTTTACCATCAGAATAAAAAAAGATATTTCCATGAGAAGCTGAGAGCAGGGCATTATCTGTATTTTTTAAAAAATTACTTAAATCATTTTGTTGATTGCTTAAATAGTTTTTCTTCATTTTGAGGTTTTGCTTATTGATCAGCTCCACTGCCTGTAACAGTGATAATACCACTGCAGATGGGAGCAGCAGTGACAACCAGAAGAGGATGTTTATAGAAAACATCTATATTAATAGATTTGTTCATTGATCATATGGAAGATAATCTGACTCACCTCCTGGGACGCTTCTGCTTATTCTTTGTGCGGCTTTTCCTGGTGGGTTTGGGCAGAATTCTCCTCTGAAAGTCAAAAACATCCTCAGATTAATCTCCAGTCAGGATTCAAACATTTACAAACAGGATTAAAATAACATATTGATGAACTAAATGAATCTGGTTCAGACTGATGTTCTGGGTCAACACACGTTACAACCTGCTTACACTCGTTTCTCCTGGATTTACAAAGTCAGAAACCTGCTTCATTAACAAATGTTTCCTCTCAAGTTTCAGACTTTCACCAGAAGACGCTCTGTACAGCGTGAACGTCACAGTGCTATCACAACTCAATTTAACCTGTCAGGGGAAATTGTCAGTTTGTTTTTTTAACAGCCTCTTCGGTCAAACTCTGATGTGGAAAAGACAATTCCTCTAAACTGGCTGCAGATCATTGTTACTACAACATACACAGTATAGGTCACATCTTGATGTAAATCAATGTGCACTGCATGGTTTAGCTCCCCAGTCACGGCCCCAAAAGGACTCTGGGAAGATGTAGGAATATGCAGGACGCCCGTCCTCACCGGCCGGCGGCCGGGGACAGAGCTTTGTCTCCGACGTTGTGGAACGGGACTGTACGTCTCAGCTCAGAGCTACGCTCCCATACGCCACCAGGACAGAGCCAGGAGAGCAACTCGCTGGGTGTCCACGTCGGACAGAAACAGACTGAACAGGCTCCTGCAGCACAAACTATCACAACAATCACACCTCATATTTCTACGTGTGTGACGTCACCACAGCAAAAACACTGTAGAGGCCAGAGTTCAGGACACAGTTCCCACTTGAACCCGAGGTGGACATCATCATCATCCTCACCTGTGCAATGAAGACCACGTGCTTTCCACTGAACTTCTTCTCCAGCTCCCTCACCAGACGCACCTGAATCTTCTGGAAGGACTTCAGCTGAGGAACGGGAACGAAGATGATGATGGCTTTCCTGCTGCCACCAACTTCGATTTCCTGGAGACATAAACACAAAAGACTTTAGTTTCAAGGACAGAAAAAACGCAGCCGAACGTCTCCGCTCCAATCCAGCACCAGGATTGTTCATCTACTTGAGCTGATGCAAGAAACCAATATCATTCAAGAGCTGCAGAGTTACCAGGTAAACAAGTGAAGTGGATTTCAGGAATTACAAAACTTCAGTGGAAATGACAAAAGGATAATTTATCTTTACTTAACTGGCTGCAGATCGTTACAACAATATACACAGTATAGGTCACATTTTAATGTAAATCAATGTGCACTGCATGGTTTAGCTCCCCAGTCACGGCCCCAAAAGGACTCTGGGAAGATGTAGGAATATGCAGGACGCCCATCCTCACCGGCCGGCGGCCGGGGACAGAGCTTTGTCTCCGACGTTGTGGAACGGGACTGTACGTCTCAGCTCAGAGCTACGCTCCCATACGCCACCAGGACAGAGCCAGGAGAGCAACTCGCTGGGTGTCCACGTCGGACAGGATGTTTCCATTTCAATATTTTAAGATAAATAACAGCTTCTCAGCCCAGATTTCATTTAAAGAAAAGAAAAGCTCCTACCTTTGCTGCAGTGATGTTCAGCTCTCTCAGCTGAGCCTTCAGGTCAGAGTTCATCTCCAGCTCGAGCAGAGCCTGCAGAGAGACACAGTACAATCAGCCTCAAACATCTGTATCTTTACAGTTTAAAAGCAACTCGCTGATCACATTTACAGAGGCTCGTGGTATTTCAGGTGTTGGTTAAAGTCAGTTTAGTTTCTGATCTGACTCAGGCTTAAAAACTGTGACAGTCAGTCAAGTTCAGTGGATCTTGTCTGTTGATGATGAACAGTACTGTGCAAACATTATAGGCATTATCCATCCTGCAGGGTCTGGCCCCCACAGGGCCCTGAACTCAACATCATGGAGTCAGTCTGGGATCACATGAAGACACAGAGACAACCTGAATCCACAGCTGAACTGAGGCAGGTGTACTGAGGAGAACGGGTGCTTTGATTTTTCTGTTTACTGCACTTTGAACTCAGCTGATAAATTTAGGCTTTTAACAGCATTATTGTTGAAAGCACTTTAAGTATCTAAATCCTTTCACACAGTACTGTACATTTTATTATACAGAAGAAGAAATACACGTACAGATATTACAGTTGCTTCCAGCTTTCAACTTAAACTCTTTGAAAACTTGTACCATGTGGGCTGAAGTCGAGTTTAACTTTTGTCCAAACATCCTTAAATATCCAAGTTCAGTTAATATTGGTGATAAGAGTGAACTCGAGCAAGAAAAGCATCAACACATTTTTATAATGCAATGACATTTTCTACATGTTGTCTACAGGGTGATGATAACTCTTACAGCATCACTTCACAAAACAATCAATCAATCACCTTAACTCACAGCTACTCCCCTCCAATTTAAAGTTAACATGATCTGAACCCTGGTCTTCTTACCTGGGAGATCCCAGACTCGAACTCGTCTGGCTTTTCGCCATTAGGCTTCACTATTTTGGCGCTGGTACTGAACATGGCCTTTGTCTCTGCACAGAGAAATAAAGACATGTGGGTCAAACACACATACAATCCTGGGATCTTTCAACACACTGGACTGACATGAATCCTGGAGGAGCCCCTATCAAACCAGAAGGAACCGCGCTGAGCTAACAGACATACCAGCTCAATGCTAACTGGGAGCTGCGGGCTAACACGCAAGTATGTGATATTAGAATTTGTCTGGAACAAAAATGTTAAACTTCAAGACAAAAAACACACAAATCTAGAGCCGGTAAAATGAAGAAATCAGACTCCGTTAGCAAAAACACTTCAGGTTAACTAAGGTAAGGCAACTTTAGCTATTATAGCTTAGCCGGCTGTCATTTTTTGCCCTGCTAGAATTAGACGGAGAATTTTAAGTAGAAAAACTGCAGTATCTTGTTTTATTTTCCATAAAACAACCCATGAACAGAGATTAATAGATCCAGTCCACCACCTTCTCCTGGGCTGAACACATGCACGGCCTGCTAACTGCTCCCCATCACCAGGACCCATTCACCGGAGCGATTCTACTACGCTCTATTTTGTGCTATAAATCAGCCATCCGCCGCCACAAGCCACATAATCTAAGGTATCAAAGCCTTAACAATGTTTACGGTGCGTGTATTTAACAATTTAACTAAGTTAAAAGACATTTTGGTTCAGAAAAGTCTGGTCACTGGAAAACGGCACGACTAACCTCTGTCAACGACGGCCAAGGAAGAGACCGGAGCATCGCGAGAGTTGTATTAATCCAATGCGAGCGAGCCCAGTCAATATCGCGAGAGCTGCTAGAGTCGCGCATTGAGTGATAATGCTGCATTCAGGGGACAATAGGAAAAGCAGCCGTTACTCCCTTGTGTTTATGTATTTGTAGCAGAAGCCAGACACAAACAGTGGATAGCCCCTGCAGAATTATCCGAACTTGTATTAGTGTTGATATCCTGCCCACAGTGTTTTGACATGCCGGTAGTTCTTTCCATAAAGTGGGAGATATCTGATTTTTTTTTTTTTTTTTTTTTATTTACTTATTTTTAGATATCAGAAATTTAGGTTATCCCCCAATCGTAGGTCGTAATTACGATTTAAACGATATGCCTGAATGCAACACCAAAACATCGCGAGAGTATACGCCTATTACACTGGTTGCCAACCGCCGTAAAAAAAGACTAAAAAGAAGAACATCGCGAGAGTTTGTGGAGAGCATGACACGAACGCTTGTTAACCGTTGTCAACATTACCTTTTTTCTGTGTTTTCTTTGTGACTGCGCTTTTCGGGTTTGAAACAAACGTTTAATTTATGGTTTAGCGGGCCACACGATTGGTGACGTTGCTGTCATGTTTATTATGAATCCTTTTTGGGCGTCTGTGTTACTTTTGTGAGACAGAGAAAGCAAACTAGCTAGCTAGCAGGAAGTAGCTAGTTTTGACTGCTCAGTTCATCCCACATTTACGGGCGCCTTTCGGCTTTCGTAGCAAAACAAGCACTGAATACTGACTGACCAGTGAGTTTTAATTATAATTTACTTTGTCTGAGTTAGTGTCAGGATGCTAGCCGCTCCAGTTTCACGGCAGTTTCTTGGCAGAGAGTGATGTTTAGACTGCCTGGTCTTTTCAGAGCAGTACGCAGGAGCTTCTGCAGCGCTGCCGACGACATGGCGAAGGGCAAGTTTTACTACGCAGTAAAGAAAGGATTCAAACCTGGAGTCTACAAGTCATGGTGAGCCTGTTCACATCTTAATGTCAGCATAGTTGTTTATAAGAAAATCAAAGCCACTGATCAAAGTGCATTTTTGTAGCGCAAGGAGTCACATGCCAAATCCCATTAAGATTTCTGGTGTTTCAACGTCTGTTTGAGCCTCTTCAAAGCAAAACACCACAAAAATTATAATTAAATAGTATTTTGTAATCATTAAAATCCACACTTTGATTCGGCATAGAGGACAACGCGTTAGCAACTGCTTATATCAATATATTTCATTTTCATTTCCTTCTTCAAAACACACAGTGTGAGGTGCTCAACAGAGGGTGACTGTGTGATTTGTGGTCTGGGAAGAAGTTTGAATTATTGATCATTATTTTCCTGTTTCGTTCTGTTATTCAGGGATGAATGTAAGAGTCAGGTGGAGAAATTCCCATCTGCCTCTTTCAAGAAGTTTGCATCAGAGAAAGATGCCTGGGCGTTTTTCAGAGGAGTCGAACCTTCTGCGACTCCAGAGGTGAAGAAAGGTACGCTTCAATCTTCTCTTCTGTACTTCGATACAGAAAACTCAACTCAACCATCTCAATGCATCTGAGGAGAAAACACTAAACTGTATTTGGACATAAATTCAGCAAATTAGTAAATATAACCTGTAACACAGCATTTCTCTAATTTTAAGTGACAAAAATAACAACAAACTGTGTGTTTTTGGTTTTCAGCAGCTCAGAGCGTGGAGTCGGCCGTCACTCTTCTGCCTAAAAGAGGTCCGGAGGCTCTGGAGTACATCCCTCTGGGTAAAAAGAGATGTCATTCAGAAGAGGAGGTGGTGTCCCCCCCCAAACGAGTCAAACAGTCAGAAAGCTCATCTTCAGAAAGCACAGATGGATTCACATACATGGGTAAGATCTTCAAACTGTCTGAGGAAATCAGATAAATATTGTAAAGATGATTGATGTGAAACTTTTACTCAGTTCTTTGTCCATCCTGAGTTGTAAGAAGGTGGGTAGATTATCTGTAAACTGATGTAGTTATGTGGTAGTTAACACATACTGTAAAACTTGAGGTGTAGAAAAAAGTGGCGTCGAGTAAAACCTGAACTGCAGCAGCTCGTAACTCAGTGCTGTTCTCCCTCCGTCCAGGCGAGGCCGTGGTCGTTTACACTGACGGCTGCTGCACGGCCAATGGGAGGAGCGGAGCCCGAGCCGGCATCGGAGTTTACTGGGGCCACAACCACCCACAGTGAGAACACACACACACACACACACATATATATTATAGCCTGGAACTGAACTGAAGAGACACATGTTCAAAAGTCAATAATCCAACAGTCTGTCACAGTTATTGCTTCTTTCCTGCAGAAATGTTGCAGAGCGGCTGGAGGGAAGACAAACCAACCAGCGGGCAGAGCTGCAGGTAAACACCTCCCATCACATCTCTGCAGATGTGCCTCAGACAGACGTAATACATCCATCTGACACATATATGAGTAAAAATAAAAGGTATAACTAGAGGCTTTTAAGGTTTTAAAATTCGTTATCAGCAGACATTAAATATTACACAATGAACATGGTTTTGTATATTTCTAATTTTCACGCATTTGCACAGATACAGTCGTGTGTTAATAGCTGTAACAGTGTCTAACTGTCGTGTGTGTGTGTGTGTGTGTGTGTGTGTGTGTGTGTGTAAAAACCAGGCAGCCTGCAAAGCGCTGGAACAAGCCAAAGAGTTGAACATCAAGAAGCTGGTTCTCTACACCGACAGCAAATTCACGATCAACGGTGAGTCACAGAAAAACTCTCTGAACATTGAACCTGCTGAATCCAATTCTGATTGAAAGTGTTGGAGTTCATTATCGACACGTTTCAGGTTCAGATTTTTGAATTTCACCAAATGAGAACATCAAGAATAATTCAGGTTTATTTCAGCCTGATGTTTCCTTCGTGATTTTTACATGAATCATTTCAAACGTTTGTCTGGGAGTCTGACTGAAACTCAGACAGTAGCTGCCTGCAGCACCAGTGTGATGCTCCACTCCATCATACTCATACTCATGTGGCGTGTTTCCTGCAGGTGTGACCAGCTGGGTGAAGAACTGGAAGCTGAACGGCTGGAGGCTGAAATCTGGAGGTCAGATCATCAACAAAGAAGACTTTGTGAAGCTGGACAGACTGAACTCAGAGCTGGAGGTGGTCTGGGTAAATATCAACCTGCATCGCACGGTTTAAAAGAATATTTACAGTCTGGTCACACAGAAGAGTCAGTGGTTAAGACTGGGACTGCAAAACAAAAACAAAATCCACAATCCACAAAAAAAAATCATGTGGACAAAAGTTCTTTAAGCAGACATATTGTCCTCATGATACTCAGAGATTAAACACTGACGGATGGTTATAAAAACTGACGCTGCAGTTGTTCTTCTTAACTGTGTGTTTGGTTTGTTCCTGTTCATTGTTTTTTATCTCTTAAATGTTCAACACAACCTGAACCTGGAGTGGTGACTGCAGAGATTAATCTTGAGCTAAAAGATTCAAATAAACAATAAACAAATAAACAGAAACCAAATGTGACATGAAAGAAGCCAAACAGGGATTTTTTTGAAGAGGAGATTGTTGGACCGTTACCTGTGATGTGTTCAGTGACACTGTGAGAGTTAAGTTACTGGTGAGTGAGTCTGTGCTGCGTAGTCTTCCTGTAGTTACTATTTTGCTGCAGGTTTTGTTTTTGCAGATCACTACCTTGAACTGTGAGACAGTCAGAGGAGTGGCCACAGGAGGCGCTAGAGGCACATTACATTCAGAATGAAAAGCAGGTGTCAGTTTGTTTATAAAACCCGGTTCACAAGGTGGAAACAAGAGCAGTGTGGCGCTGGTGTGGGGAAGTCTTCTCAGCAGATTATTAGGATTTAACTTTTTTCTGCAGAGTGAACAAACCTGCACCAAACCGGCTGATTCCTGTTTCACCGGCTCATTTCTTCTTTGAGTGATTTTAACTTGTTCCCTAGTTCTGCCCCTTTTGTTTGCTATCATTGTGTTGATCATTTTCCTCACACAGAAATACACAGTGTTGTTCATTCCAGCTGTTGTATTCAGAGACGTTCCTAATTTTCTGCTCCCTCATGTATGTAAATGGAAAAGACAAAATAGAATAGAAACACCTCAGTATCATGTAGTTCAGCTTAACACCATCTTCATCTGTGACCTGCAGTGGTGACACAGCTGTTGTATTAGATTGTACAGGTGTACCTAATAAAGTGGCCACTGTATGTAATGATGGTGGACAGCACAGGGAAGATCCACATCAGCAAGTGCACACATCCGAAGTGAAAGTCGGTGTAGCGAGGTTTAAAAACACTGTGCTTTGATATTATAACGGGTTTAATTACGTTTATCAATGGATTTAAACTGACGTGAGACAATGATATTTGACGATTTTCTCTTCCTCAAACTCTTCCTCCTCGTCCTCCTCGTCCTCCAGATGCACATTCCCGGTCACGCCGGCTACAGAGGCAACGAGGAGGCTGACAGACTGTCGAGAGAAGGAGCGGCGCTGCCTTTACAGCAGCAGGATGATGAAAGAGACGATTACCATTAAAGAGCTCCACTGCAGGACTGATCACGTGATCGTGCTCTGGTTCGGAGGTTTGTTTTTTTTTTTTCTCCTTGCAACAGCACTTGTGACTAAACGGAGACTCGGCGGGGGAAGTCTGCGTTTGTCCATTTCACTGTTAAATGTTGTTGATAATTTGTGTTTCTGCTCTGAATAAAGTTTAAGCTTCAGCTGTCACCACCTGAATTTTGTTTTGTGATGCAGCATGAAATCAAAGTCGGGCAGTGTGAGGTTTCTTCCAAGGATTCTGTTTACTTTATTTATTAATCCTTGTGAGGAGAGAAAGAGACGAGGACAGAGGAGTGAAGGAGAGGAGGCAGATGAGGGAAACAGCACTGACAGGTGAGGAAAAGAAACAGGAAGTAGAAATGAATTTAGAAGAGAGAGGAGGAAGGGTGTGTGGTATGGAGTATGGTATGGTTTTAGTGTTTTATATTGATTACTCAGTCTGTCTGTAGTACAGTCTTTCATCCAGCAGGAGGAGCTCCGTGTCATTATCAGAGGATTTAGGGTTTATTCTCGGATCAGGTTGAATTCTGACTGACACATTGTTTCATACGTGTCGTTGCTTTGGGGATTGTTGTTTTTAAATCACATGTCAATAAAGTTTATTACAGTGAAACTGAATTGAAAGAGATTTTATAACTATCTAAATCCTGAAAATCCAGTTGCAAAATTAAACTGGGAGATGTTTGTTCCCAGTTTGACCAACAGACTCTAAAACAGGCGACGGCACTAAACATCACTGACCTTAGTTGTGTGGCGGCGTGTCGAGAGATTCTGTGAATATGTCCAGTTCAAAGCCGGAGAGTCGTCTCCTCCTGGGCAGCGTGAAAACAACAACCTTCAGTGGAAACGCAGCGAACGCTTCATTTCATTTATTTAAATCCTCTTGAGCATCAAAACAGAGCTTGTTCTCTCTGGGATCCAATCACACACTATATTAACAGACAACATATAAATCACTCAACACACCTGAACACCGATTCATAAAGTACAAAACCAGACAAACTGAAAAACTAATAATAATGAATAAACAAAGAAATAAACAACGGAATAAAAAAAGATCTAAAAATGAAATAAGTGGTGTGAAACGTCTAAGCATTTTGTTCACTAGAGAACATCTTAGATAAACCAGCAGCTGCTCAACACGATGATGAGATTGATGTTTAATACCTGAGTTTATATTACAACTTAGAATTAAATAAGTATTATATGAAGAGGGAGACATGTACAGACAGAGTTCAGTTAAACCAAGAGTATTTCTCAGACTTAGAAATTCACATGTAGCTCCACTAGCTTGGCCAGTTTGTTAATCATTCAACTGAAATAAAAGTAAATTGTTCATATAAGTAACGCATATATTTATGATCACAGAGCCGAGAAGTGACATCGTAGTTTGGTGTGTGACATGAATGTGAAAGAGATGAACTGCTGGTTCCTTCAACAGGTGAATGGTTAATATTAGAAAGATCAATCAAACCAATGTCATCGACACAAAGTCCTTAAAATGCAATTTGGAAATTTGAACATCTATAAATCCATGACAACTGAGCAACTACATCTGCTGATCAAAGTCATGTGATGTGATTGAAAGCTCTGGAGCAGCCACTAAATTGACCTTAAGGTGAGATTGTTTTCTCAGCCAGAAAAAAAATGGATGAACGGTTGACCCATGAACCACGGACACGAATCAGTAACCATGTGACGGCTGAATAAGTGTATTTACAGTTGGCTGTTTATGGAGCAATATTATCACCTATTGGAGTTTAAGTTCACCTGATGATTGTAAGTTTAATAACTGACTCTTCTTTTAGCTCTGATCTGGACTCCACCTCCTCCTCAGGGACACATCTGGCTCTTTAGGTGCTCGACGTTCACACTCTCTTCACCGGCCGCTCTCTGACTGTGTGTCTCTGCTGTTTAATGCTGTCCCGTGGTTTTATCAGAGCCTGGTGCTGCTGGAAAATGAGGCAGATGACAGAACCGAAACAGTAACGTGACGTAAAGCCAAAACTAACAGTAAAACGCTGAGCAGTTGGTAATGACTCAACTTTCACCTCACAGTCACAGTTGGTCATTTGATTCTTTCAAAATATGAACTACTGGAGCTTTAAAGAAGCGTGCGACATATTTCAGTGTTCAGTACATATTTCATTCCCCACAGTCGATCCATCTTTGCAAATTCATGTTGTGCCTCCACTTTCAAACTCAGAACTTTATTTTCTATTTATTCCACTTTCTACTTCTGCTTCACTACATTTCAAATGCAAATGTTGGACTTATTTTCTAGAACTAATTTCATTAGTTTTTATTTGTTTCAAGCTACAGACACTTAATTTTTAAACAAACTGATTTAAAAATAGGATGAATAGAGTGTTCTTACTGTAAAGACACTTTCTATTCACTTGTTTTAGGACAGTAAGTTTTTTTTAGGAAGTAAGTAATAATTTACTCTGTTTTCCAGATTAAACAGTTTATAAAGCAGTTAAAATTTTCTCCACCTCAACTAATTACAACCAAAGGCTACTTACACATTAATGCATCATCGTATAATATAATACAAAACCATCAAAGGAGCAATTTTCTGCATAATGAGTACTAATTTTAATACTTTTCTTAAGTGAGCTTTTGAGTTTTTGAGGACTTTAACTTGTAATGAAGCATTTCAAAATTGTTCCATTGCTACTTCCACAAAAGTGAAGTATCCGCGTACTTCCTTCCCTTCGACAGACCTTCAGTACTCGTTCGTGAAAAAATAATCTTCTTTCTGCTCATGGAAAAGAGAGAAAGAGAAATTAAGAGACTCACCCCTCCTCCTTTCCTCCTCTTTGTCCTCCTCCTCCTCCTCCGTCCTCCTGCAGCCGGTCAATTGGTCGGTGTCGATGTTGGAAACAGCAGGACGGAGGCTTGGGGTTCCTCGCTCTGACCTCGACCGCTGCCTCGCGGCAAGCGTGGGCCACCACGACCCCGCCAGAGGCAGCCCAGTCTGAGAGAGAATGCCTCTAGGAGGTCAAAGGTCGCCCCTCAGCAGCTTCACCTCCTCGCTGGCTGAGCCTTGTTAGCACTCCTCCTCCTCAACACACACATGCCCACATGCCTCCTCAGCAGACTGAGCTCTGGCATCAGTCCGCCGCTGCCCTGCTGGAGGGGAGGAAGACCGAGCAAACTGTAAAGAAACTTAACAAACCAGACATTAGAAACATCCTGCTCACACTTCAGGTTTTGTCAATTTTTAGACCAGCACTGTGTAAAATAAACCAGAATGTTCTGCTGGGGTTGAAGAACTCTCTGACACCTCAAACCGTCTGACACAGAGCGGGGGATGTTCGCTAAAGTGCTGGCAGTGCTGATGGGGAAGAAAGAAAACTTCATGCAGACATTCACTCGCTTGAGAGAAGACGAGCCCGGGCCACGCTGTTGTCTTGCAACCAAGTCGCTCAAGTCCAATTCCAAGTTGAGTCCCACTAAGTTAGAGATTGCATCTGAGTCGCGGTGGTGTTGTAGTCGTGTCTGAGCTGCTGTGGTCAATCGTCCAGGTTGACGAGGTGATGTCTGAGTCCCTGAGGACACGGCTAAGTCACTATGTTTGTCAAAGTCACCAAAGTCATTTCTGAGTCACTAAGCCAGTGTCTAAAGTTGCTGAGATCAGGTTTAAGTTGTAGAGCTCATGTCCAGGTCACTGATGTGATGTTTGAATTGCTGAGATGATTTCTGAATTGGAAAGCTCATGTTTGATGTCATATCTGATTACCTGACGTCATCTCTTAGTTGTTTGGGTCACGTTTAAGTGGCCAAGCTCATGTTCATGTTGCCGAGGCCAGATACGAGTCACTGAGTTGATGTCTGAAGTTGCTGACGTCTTGTCCAAGTTGTCAAGATCAAGGCCAAGTCTCAGAGTTTATGTCGAAGGTCGTGTCCGAGTCCCTGAGTCAATGTCTGAGTCTCTGAAGTTGGCAAGCTCATTTTCGAGTTTACTGCGTCTTACAGTGAATGTCCGAGTTGCTGACGTCAAGTCTGGAGTTGTTGACATAATGTCTGAGTCTCTGAGGTCATATTAAAGTTGCTGCAAACATGTCTCAGAGGTTGAATCTGGTTGCTGAAGAAATGTGTCACAGGGTTATGTCTACGTCACTCAGGAATGTCTAATTTGCTGAGATTATATCAATGTTGTTAGAATTCGTGTCTATTTCTGTGACATCTGAGTTATTTGGTTCTTTGAGTCATTATTTTAGAACCCACTACCATGACTGACGAACCCCTGAAGGACAATATGTTGATACCTGGGCAGGGAAATCTTGAGTTGCTTGTTACATATGGCGTTGTCAACACAGCTCTTAAGACCGGTTCCCACTCTCCTCTCCAGCGTTTATCATCAAATTATTTCTTCATCCAGTCCCGAGACAGTGTTTACACTGCTGCTTCCTTTCTGATCCGGCATCAAGGAGAAGCAGAGCTCAGCACGCCGTCGATGGAGGAGGCACAGAAGGAGTCACAATCAAAGATGGCGAGGAGAACAAAGTGGCATCTGTTTCCATGACAGCTGTCTGCATCCAGCTCTGAAACCAGCTCCCCCAACTCCCTCGCTACCACGACTGTTTGATATGACGAAAAAGGAGAGTTTCTTAGAGGTTTTTTGCAGTTTTAGCGAAGGTACTGTGTTTTCTACAGGAGGGTAATGCCTCAAAGACCCCTCTGATTTGTTAAATAAGGATTGTCACTCCTTATATTTTGACTCCAACTTGTTTTCATAAACCAAACCCCACAGCAACTGCTTGGGTTTTTTTTCTTTGCTCCAGCTGAGGATGTATTAATCGGAGAAATCAGAACGTAACTGGAGGTCAGGCAGAACAAAGAACCTGCCAACTCTCTGCTCATTAAAAAAACCCACCAGATTTATCTTTAGAACACAATCTCAGTCTTCTACTGTCTACTTTTTATTTGCTTTAAACAATTATAATGAGATTAGACGATTTCAAATTGTTGGCAGATAGATAGATAGGTAGGTAGGTAGGTAGGTAGGTAGGTAGGTAGGTAGGTAGGTAGGTTAGGGTGCAATAAGAATTCTGCAAAAAGGCATTGTATAATATATGCAGTAAAAGTATGCACAGATGGTAGTGCAGCAGTGTGTTCACCTGGTACACAGGTAAGCTGTTGTACAGTGTCAGTGCAGTCAT